CTATCGACTGTCGACGGTGAAAATCGTGTGCCCGAGGTCCTTCTTTTGTCACGCATTCAAAAGCCACAGGACGTTGGCTCACCAGGTAAGCTCTTGTCAATGCCGAGGATCGCTATGTCCTCATGTACAGCATGTAATTGCTATGGTCTACGTCGTCGAGGACCGCAGACACATCGAGCACGACCGGTGAGGTACCAGTAACGCTTTGAGCAGCGTCGCAGCCATCGCGCACCGGCGCAGAAGAGGGTCGCGGGGTTGTCGCTCCAGCACTGGATGGTAGCTCCCGACGTCGGGGCAGCTCAGACCTCAGCCATCGGTGCTGTAGCGGTAGAAAGGTCACTGCTTACGTTGGTCGTTTATGCGCACTGAGCGCTGTAATCGATCTGCCCGGACAAACGGCTTCAACGACAACCCGCTGCGAACGTCTGTCGCCTCATATCTGTTGCTGGATCCAGGTAGCAAGCAATCGGCATGGCTCGCTGTACCCGCTTGCATCGGTTGCACCGTCTTGTCTCGAATGAAGATCCGCGAGAGAGATGATCGTGCGCTGCGCCTTTTTCCTTGGTCGGACACGCGCGTCTGGCAGCTTGTTTGTCAGCCTCAATGGCGCGACGTCGAAGATTTTCCGAGCCGATCGCGCACAGTACACGTCCAAGCGCGAGACGAATAGCCCGACTGGTGATGAGCACATCAAAGCACATATTGGGAAGTTACGGTAACGTCAAAATTCATGACAAAGTGGACCACAGTGTCCCACTCGGTTCCTGTCTCCAGCTTCTTGTGCGCCGTGGTAGGATAGCAAGTACGAGGCTCCAAGTTTCACTCTGGTCACAACGTCCAAGCGGCTCGGTCGTGGTGTTGGTCCACGCACAGGAAAATGAGTTGCGACAGGGCGTCGTGATAACACATACAGCCCTCATGCACGTCGTGAGATGTTTGTGAGATTGCACACTGCACGCGCCTCTTTCTGCACGGTGAAGCGTCCTGTGAGTTGTATGTTGAAGTTGACTGGGCCGCCATGGGCCCCCTTCTGTGGCGGAGGCGGTGTGGTCGTGTGCATGAAGCACTCGGGGAATAAGTATGGTTTCTTACGATGACCGCGGTCGGCGGCCAAGCGAGAGAATAATAATAAATACTATGACTAACACTACGATCGCGTCTACTCTTCCTTCTTGCTCTCCGTGATCGGACGCAGCGGGTACTCGTTCCAGCGCGGGCGGCGCTTGTTGCGCACCATGTGCATCGTCATCGGGATCATCTTGCCCGACACGAGTGCGGACGTCGCGCGGGTCTCCTTGTAGCAGTCGGGGATCTCGACCACCGGGTGGTGCTTCTTCATGAGCGTGTTGAGCTTGCGCACAAACTTGTTTTGGTCGCCGTGGACAAGAATGTCGTGTTGGATCAAGAGCTCCTTGAAGAGACGCAGCTTGGTGTCAATGTCGTCGTCCGACGAGTCGGAGAACGAGTTGGACTTGTGCGGCACGCGGGGGCTCATTTCACTCTCGCTCGCCGTCTCGTCGTGGTCCATCGGGACCGAGAGGGCCTTCTTGCGGCCAAAGAGCTTGCCCTTGGGCTTTTGCTCGTCGACGTCGTGACGGAAGATCTTCTTGAGGTTGATGCCCATGGCGGTGTGCACTTTGGTGAAGTGGGCGAATCGGGAAATGGTTCTGGCAACTGACGGCCGCAGCGATGCATAAAAGAGATGGGTGGTGATGTTTGTGCAGCACAACTCGAAGCTGCTGCATGCGACATGCACTGGCGCGTCTAGGTTCCTTGTCACATTTTTTCGAATCTCGCACAGCAATTAGCCAAAATAGAATGACCACGCAGTCTATTTGGCCAATGAAATTGCTGCTGTCGCCGGCGTGGCCAAGGCATACAAATTCCAAGAGAGTCGTGCAGCCACCAAATGGCGCCCGTCCAGCGCGCGCGCCAATGACGCAAACTGCACATCCCCATTTTATCTTGCAAAATGTATTGGACGCCCGCGACCGAATCTGGCCCCGTCGACGGTACACGCGACACCTTTTGTCCCAACCCTTTTTCCCACTTTATCCCAGACCGTTTGTTTTGCCCCATCCCTTCCCAATACAGGAAGGACTTGGTTCGCGAGTAAATCCCATTTCGGGCGAGCAATTGCCCACGAAGGGTGAAGGTGATGGAAGATTCTCCTGGCATATCAGAAGGTGAGTATACCATACAAGACGAGGGCTGCTCTTGGCGTTACTTCAACAAGTGCAAAGATCAAGTAGGGCCGATTACACCCCCTTCTGCGCACGGCACCAGCAGTGTGGTACTGGTACTGTACTTCAATGTGGCAGTCGCAGTCGATGAAGCCGTCAAGGGCCAACAAAGCTTTGGCAAAACGCAGGAGACAGCAGCAAACGCGGTGAGCGAGCACACTGACAGCGCCCAGCCACCCGTTGAGCCCTTGGCAGTAACACCAGGCGGAGCCTCGCCTTTGCGGAAACTGGACTTCCACGTGGCGTCCTGCAACGTGGACAGTGACACGGTGTCTGGTTGTTGGCGCAGCGCCAAAGAGCGGTGCGCTCGGCGCGGAAGTGATGGAGGAAAGACAATAGAGGTCGCTCTCTTCAAGCACGTCGCATTCGACGATGGACGAGAAGCTTCTTTGGGCGCCGGGCGATGCCAGAGTGACACAAAAGGACAGTTTGACCATGATCACCACAAGCCATTAAGCGGCCATTGCGCTGCAACGCGTGCGCCAAGGCACGCAGACCAGGTACTTGAAATGATGTACGCGCTACCGGGCTCACGTTAGGCCCTTTTGAGCCAAAACCGAGCAAGGAGTCGATTTACCGTGCGTGAACCTTGGATGTGGATGCACCGTGTCGTTTTTAGCTGCAAGTGCGCATCCTGGCGGTGGTTGATCGAAGCGCCAGCTGGACGCTCGATCTCCTTCGATCCCCTTCGGAGAGGAGAGCGTACTTGGTTGTCGAACGACCTGCGTCACTTGCCCGAGCCGGGTGCAAGTTTGAACTTGCAAAAGTCTCTCACTGAGAGACTTTTCGGAACCTGGATTGCAGTCAAATGGAGGCTGAATGGTCCTCGCCACGCTGTCCATCGTGCTGCAAACGGAGCACGGCAAGGATCTTTTGGTAGAAAGAGCTACCGGTAGGGTAGTTTGAGATCGGCGCTTCTATCGACCCAAAGTCTTCTGGGTTTAATCAATGGACACCTTGGTTCCCCATTGTCAGTGTCACTAGGCTCTTCATACAATCATAGTATCGCCACCTCACAGTCGCAAGGTGCCTTTGCTCAACAAGCGCTGAATGCCGCCCCTTTTTCACCGTGTTGTATTTCGAACCAAACGCATAGCTGTAGGCGTCGGTGGACCAGATGTATGTACACATTTTCACAATTACATAGTCGACTTAGGATTTACGGGACGACTTGAAGAGCTTTCGCCGCGCGTTCGGCGGGCTAGTCTTTTTGGCGCTGCTCAGCGTCGACTTTGCCGGCACAAAGATCTTGGCCTCGCCCGTCGGCGCCTTGTACTCGGGGTGTGTGCCCTTGACGTTGAACGTCCATTGCATCTCGTCCGTGAGGATCACGAGCTGGCCCGAGCACATCTTGCCATAGCCCGTCGGCGTAAACGCAATCGAAAACGACGTGCCTTCGGTCCCATACGGCGCCAAGATGCCCTCCACCGGGTAGACCTAGTCGTTTTGTCGATACCATCCTGACATTCGGTCTCGCACCGTGAACGCCTGGGACGAGCCCGCCGTGAACTCGGCCTGGAACGGCGCGGGCTCGCGGAACTGGTTGGTGAGCTTGAACGCGACCGAAGACGTCTGGTTGAGCGCCGACTCGATCGTGAGCATGTCATCCACCACCGGGTCGGACGCGTCCAAGTGCACGTCAAAGCGCCACATGCCGCCAGAGCGCTTCTTGACAATGAGCCCGACGGCGAGGCGAATGGGTTTGAGCGGATCGAACCGCACCTACCGCGACACCACGTCCGTTTATATAAAGACAACTTGTCTTCGAAGCGTACAAGGTAGACGAGCGGGTCCGTGACATTCGCGATGCGGTCCACGACCGGCGTCACTTTGAGCGTGCGCTCGACGACCCGCGCATGGGGCTCGGGAATGTCCCACTCGACCGTAAAGCGCTCGTCTGGCGACACCTTTTCGAGCGCCAGCAGCTCCAGCGACAGCGTCTTCTCGACCGACTCGCGCGCGCGACACACAAACGAGTAGGCTTTGGGGTGCACGGGCGCGGCCGCAATGCCCTAGAGTTAGTGTATCAAGTTTGTATCAACCAGCTCGAAGGATGGTACGCGGATCGGATAGACCCACTCGAGCTCCGTGTCGCCTTTGATGATGATGTGCGCGCCGGCCTCGGACACGTACTTGGGCAAGAACGAGATGGGCACTTGCAGCGTGCCAAAGCCCTCGAGGAGCACATGGGGCTTCTTGAGGAGGATGTCAAACACGGGCGGCCGCACGGGGGCCGGCGGGCGGTGTCGCTGGCGGCTCGGATTCGCCGTCGTGCCGGCAACGCTGTTGCTCGTGCTCGGCACCTTGTCACTACTCCACCATCCTCGTTGAAGAAGAGTGAGTATACGCAGCGAGTTGACCTTTTCGTTACGAGCGGTGGGTTGCCATCATCGATCGTCGGGTCGAGCTGCACCATGGTGACTTCAACGGTGAGCGCGTCAGGGAACGGGTTACGAAAAGCAAAGAGCGAGCTCGCGGCTTCGCCAACGGTCGCGTGCACCTACAGTCCGCTCGTCTTTGCCTCTCTTCCCACACCCGTACCAGCGTCGTCTTCATCAAGCTCGGCGGCTTGCCTTTGCCCTGGACCATGTACTCCCACGCACCAACGTCCGGGTTGCGGAACGTAATGTCAGCGCACTCAAACTCCGAGAGACTCGACGGCGTGTAGTCGAGGATCGCCGTGTATGTACTAAACGGCTTGACGACGATGTCCATGTCGCGGATGCGGTAGTTGCGCGTGTTGCTCAGTTGCACATCGAGCGAGAACGTACTGTCCATGGGGTTGACGATCGAAATCGGCTGCGAACACACGTCGCCGACCGCGCACGACATGTCTTCGAGCTGCGTCGGCGGCGCAGGCGTCGCGTGAAGCGCGAGCACATAGGAAAATTCGCCCACGTCTTCGTTCGTAAAGCCGATGGACCCGACAGTGCTGCCGGCGACGAGCGGGCAGTAGAGCAGCTGGTAGATGCCCGTCTCTTCCGCGTCCAAGCGAAACTCGCTCGGGCCGTAGAGACCCGCGCCGACAAGGCGAATCGTGAACGTCACGGCGTGCGAGAGCGGATTCTGGAGGCTGATCTCCATACCGACGGCGGACCGGACAGCCGCGTGCATCTCGAGCGTCGCCTCGGGCTCGGGCGCCGCGACGCTCGCTTCGATCGTGTACCACGAGTACTCGCCCGTGCGGGTGTTGGTAAACGTGATGCTGCCAAAGTACGAACCACCGAGGAGCGGGCTAAAGAGAAGCTTGTACTGCGCAGTCGAGTTGGGGCCGTCGAGGACGATGGTCGGAGCCCCCCCGACGTACGGCAGGTCCGATTCGACGCTGAACGATGTCGGCCCTGGCGGGTCGTACCGATACGTCTGCACGTCAAACTCGTGCGCGACGCTTTGCCGCGCGACGCACGAAAGCACAACGTGCTGCACCGCGAGGGGCTCTTCGCCGACACCCCCGAGCATAAACTCGAACGATTGCTCCGTCTTGGGATTGGTGAGGACAAGGCTGCCATTCTCGGTCACGAGCCACTGCGGCTTGAAGATGAGCGCAAAGTTGGCGGTCTTGCCTGCTGGCACGACAAGCGTCGACGCGCCGGAGAAGACGCCTTGGGTCCTACGAGCTCCCATATCGATTCAGGAAGAAGCGGGAATCTTGGGTGTACCCGCTGAGCGTCGCGCGGAGGGTCCATGCTTCGTCCGTCGGGTTGATAATTGGGATCTCTTGGGTAATGGTCTGTCGCGCCGGAGCGGAAAATTCGAGCGTCGTCTTGACGCCGGCGTCGTTGACTTTGGCGAGAATCTCGTAGACGCGGATGTCGCTGCCGCAGTTGGCCGTCGACCGGAGGAGGAGCTTGCACGCGTAGAGGCCGGCGCCGCGCGGCTGAAAGTCGAACGCCACTGAATTGAGCGACGGGTGCGGCAGCGTTCCGGCGCTGTTGCGGGGCGTGCTGAGCTTGGCTTGGGCCGGCGTCGCGGCGGCGTTGGCGGCCGTATTGCTGCTGGCGCGCTTTTCGTTCTCGAGCGCGCTGTTGCTCGCCGGCTTGAGCACAATGTCGGTGGACGAGAGCACGTAGTAGGGCGAGTTGACTTCAATGTGAAAGTTGGTGTGGTGTGCGTCCTCGCACTTCTTGAGCGACTCGCGTAGCTTGGCCTTGAGAATGCCCTGGAAGCGGTCGATGATGCACGCCACCGCCTTGGTCAGGAGTGGGTTCTTGGCCGGCACAGTGAGCTCCTTGAGCAAATGCGGCTTGTTCTCGCAAGTAAACTCGAGGGTCTCGAGCACGGGCGGCAAGTGGGCGGTGCACTGGACTTCGTACATGAACTCGCCGACGTTCTCATCGAGGAAGAGCAGCTGGCATTTGTACGTGCCGGGCTGCAGCGGAATGAACTCGACTTTGATGGACGTGGATGCGTCTTTTCGAATCGCAATCGTGTCGGTGGTCACTTCGGGGAGGAAGAACGGCAGCTGTGCGTCCATGCAGCCGTCGTCGCTGCTCATTTTCGAGAGGATCGTGGTCGCGCTCGCATCGTGGCGGGCCGGCGCTTGCTGCAGCACCGAGAGCTTGTAGACGCCGTTGACAGGAAACTGATTCTCAATCACGATCTCTTCGAGCTTGCGGTCGTACAACGTCGTGTCAAACTGGTAGACGCGGACCGGCTTCCTCGAGTAAATGTTGGACTCGAGCAAAAACACCATGGTCGCTGCGCAGGACGGACCGTCGCGCACGGACCGGAACGTCAAGCGAGCAGTCACCGTGCGGGTAAACTTGGGCTTGAGGTCCACGACGAACGTCGCGCTCTTCTCTGGCTCGAGCGTGAGGGTGTGGGCGGAAATGCTAAACTCGCGCACTTGGCCTTCGAGAAAGACGTCGTACACGATGGTCTTCTTGCTCGGGTTCTTGAGCTCAATGCTCTTGGTGATCGTTTGGCCCAAAATGCCCTTGAACTCGATCGTGGTTTTCGGGATGAACTGCGGCACGTTCTGGTACAGGTGCAAGACGAGCAAGACCGTCGACGGCAGCGAGAGCGAGCAGAGGAGGTCGGGCGCGAGGCCGTAGTCCAAGCCCAGGAGACTGAGCGCGTTGCGCAACGACGACGCGTTCTCGAGCACGTGCTCGGGCGTCGTTGGGTTGCGGTGGAAGCCGTAGAGAGGCCCGGCCTCGGCGGCCAGCGACGGTACGTGCGATATAAGAACGTAGGACAGAACGACGCAGTCGCGGAGGTCGGTCTCCAAGTCGACAATGAGCCGGGGCTCGGACACGGTGGCCGCGCGCTTGGCGTGGTGGAGCAGCCACTGGATGAGCACCATCTCGGATTCGCTGTAGACATTGCTTTTCGTGCAGTCGCGCGTCTAGATTATCGCATGCGAATTCATACTAGCGTTACAAGTGGCGTCGGTGTACCATGACGGCGAGCGGCTTGAGCGCCGTCGCGGCCTCAATGCCCGGGAGGTTCTGGAACGACTTCATCGAGATCCGAAAGAGCACAAAGCACTTGATAACTTGATAGACGATTTTGAGCCACACGTGGACGCTGACGCGGGCATAGTCCTTCTCGAGCGTCGCCCGGCGGTTGATGCTCGAGTGCGCCGAGTGCGTCGACCCGTCGTCTTCCATCCAGCGAATGTACATGTCTTGGTCGAGGAGCTGCTCGGGACGAAGGTCGTTCAGGAGCGCGCCGTAGCTCTTGAGGAACCGGAGCAGCTCCGTGTACTGGCCCATGAGCTGCTGCAACTGCTCTTTCTTGAGCCCCGAGACACTCTTGAGTCGCCCGGGCACGCTTTTGCCACATACAACGTCGAGCATCTCGTAGACGGGCCGGCCGGCCGCCGAGACCTACAGTTGTCGTTGGGACACGTTCTTTCACACGACAATACTGTACAATGTCATGCGGAAACGACACGATCGGGGTCTTGAGAATGTTCATGTTGAGCCATTTCACGAGGAGCGTGATTTCTTCCGGGCGGAGCTCGTGCAACGACGGCGCATGGTACAGCTTCCCACTCACGTCCACGTACCCTCCGGGGGCGGGGGCCGTGTCGCCGACGGGGGCGGCGGAGACGCCTTTGACAGCGCGCTTCTTGCTCACGGCGGGCGTCACTTGTCGCTTCATCGGACTCACCGGCTCTTTGAGCGGCGCGGCGGCAGCGGCCGTGCGCTTGGCGAGTAGTTTGAGTTGCGTTTTTTCGAGAAAGTAGATGGGGTGACGCGCCTCCATGTCCGTGTAGAAGACGTACTCGGCGCGGTGCGCGTCGATAAACGCGGCGTTGGTGAGCACGCAGTTGTCGGTCGAACCGCTCAGCGCCAGGTCAAACTCGTTTCCTTCGGCGTCAAAGAACTCGAGCTTGGCGTTGAACGCGATCGACTTGAGACTGCAAAACGACACGTCGACCTGAATGCGCGGGTTGGCGATCCCGATCGCCTTGCCGTCCGGAAACGTCACGGTGATGGGCACGCGGTTGAGGTCGATCGGAAGCCGATAGCTCAGGTCCAAGTTGTCATACCTACCACACGGATTTGTATCAATCTTTCAAAAGATATGTACCCGGTGCTGGTCACGAAGAAGGACGCCGACGACGCGACACCGAGCGGGACGGGCGGCAAGTCGATGCGCGGCACCGAGAAGCTCAGGTGCGGGTGGATGCCTTGACCGACCATCGTCAGCGTCAAGTAGGGTAAATCGTCCAGAAGCACGGGAATGTCGGCCGTGTACGCCTCGGCTTCGACCGGAAGAAAGCTGGCGCGCACGGTGCACTTGTCGCCGGCCGCGAGCTCGCCCGACTAGCCAGTGCCGCATCGCAAGAGTCCCTCAAAGAAGCGGCATATGCAAATACGTACCGACGGCGCAATGTGAAACACCGAGGGACTTGACCGCATGAGAGTCGTCAGGTCCATGTGCCATTTGATCGTGTTCGGGTCGTCGTTGGTTAAAACGAGCGACACCGAATACGGAATCTTGCGCGCATTGTCGGTCGCGACCACGCGCTTCTCAAAGTCGAGCGTCGTCGAAGAGAAGAGCAGCCGCGGCTTGAGCCCTGTGGCCGTCACGACGCGGTCGAACGGGTCGCTGCGCACTAAGAGGCCTTCGAATTGCATCGGAAACGGAAACGCGTGCGACGCTATGACGTCGGGCAGAAACGTGAGCTCGAGCGCCACGGACGCCTCCGGTGGCAGCACGAGGCGCCAGTTGCGCGTCGGCGTCGCGTCAGATAGTGGGTCGAGCGGCCCAAACACGCCATGGACGTCGTCAATGCTCGGGTTGAGCGACTGGGGCATCACGACGTTGAACTCGGGCGTCTTCTCAAACAGGAGCTCGAGATGCGCTGGTACGAGGCTGCGGTTCGCGAGTTGGAGCGCCCTCGTTGCGTGCACGCCCAGCGTGAGCCCGCCAAACGCAAAGCTCTCGAGCGGCGACTCAAACTCAACCTTGGGTACGACAACGTCGGCTGAAATCGGTATCCGAATCGTGCGGCCACCGCGAATACGAACGACGAGGTTGACGCTACTGCCACGTCAGACGCTACTGTACAGCAACAGCAAATTACTTTTCAAGGACGAGCGGCCGGCGCACGTCGAGGCCCAAGAGGAGCTCGGTCGTGTCGGACGGGAGGAGACAGGCTTCTGCTGGCTTGATGCTCACGCCGTTGGTCGCAGGTTCAACCTCCGCATAGTAGACTGTCGGCGCGACCGCGTTTTGGTTGAGGAGCAGCAGTCGCTTCTCCTTGGGAATGCCCGCGGTCGTCGCGCCAAAGTCGATTTTCTTGTCTTTGATGACGCACTTTGGCTCTGGGAGGTGTCCAACGCAGTGAATTTGGTTGGTTTTGCCTACCGACAAGTCAGCGACCTCGAAGGAACGGTGTTGAATCTACCGCCGTCGACAAGGACGCAGAGGGTGGCTTGATTCGGGACGCCAAAGCGCGGCGCAAACGTGACGCGGACGCTCGCCGTGCCCCCGGCGGCGATCGCGCCGGCGACGGGGGTGACTTCAAACGCGCACTGGTCGGCGGCCTCGGGCACCCAGCGGTAGTGCGCTTCCGAGTTGCCAGGGTTCTTGACCTGCACCGTCGACGAGACCGTGGGCGAGAGGTCGGATGCGTCAAAGGCAAATTCGAGGACAGGTGTCGAGAGCTCGACGCAGATCGGGACGACTTCGGCCACAATGAGCAGTTTGAACGAGTGCTGGCCGTTGACCGAGTACTGGACGTACTTTTGAAACACCTGCTCGGCGCGCGAGAAGAAGGTCAAGTCAAAGCCCGCGACGGCGCCGGCCGGGACCACTTGGCTCATCGGCGATGTTTGGTGGAGCTCTTCGTGGTCGTTGTTGAAGTGCAGGGCCACGAGAATGTTGTGCGGCAGGTCGTTCGTGACGCTAAATGATTTCTTCGAGACCGAGTGGACGCACACAAGGCCAAAATGAATCGTTTTCGGACCTAATGCGATAGTTATAGGGCTGGAAGAGGCTATAGAATCGTACCCGCGACAATGAGCTTGAGCTGCTCGGACGTCAACGTCGTCGCACAGTCCTTGACTTCAGCCTGCGTCACGGGTGCCGCCTTGAACTTGCGCTTGATGAGTTTGTTTTCGTCAAACGCGGGGTTGGCGGCCGCGACGCCGCGCCGACTGTTCTGCTCCGACTGCATCCACAGCGGTTCCGTGGCTTTGGGCAGCGGCAGATCCGGACCTTTGAGCCCGCCCTGGGGCGCCATGTCCAAGTCGGCAGCGTTCTGGTTGCTCGGTGCTGGCACGCTCTTGGCGAACCGGTCGTGCCGGAACTGCGTCAGTAGCTGGTTGTATGCATCGCGGTGGTGCGCGCGGTCGGCCAGTTCGTTGACGCAGTACGTCAAGTGGGTGTTGTTGGTGCCTTGAAACTCAAATTCGTCGACGGCCGCCGTGCCTTCTTTGGCGGCCACCTCGTACGGCGGCACGCGCTGGAACGACTTGGTCGGTTGCGTCTTCTGGAGCTTGACGTCGTCGTGCGTCATAAAGTTGAATTTCGGCCGAAAGTCCTGCGGCAGCGCATCCGGGCCACCGACCAGCGTCTTCGTCTTGGGCCCCATCGACGTCGCTGCGCCCGACACTGGAATCGGAATGTGGATCGACCCGTTTTGGATGCTCAGATCCAGTGCATTCTACGTCTATAGTCCAAACGGGGTAGAGACATGGAATTATGTACGCGGAAGCGGCCGAGCTGCGACGGCACAAAGCTCACGATGAGACTTTGCGACTGGAGCACATCGAGGCGACCGCGACTTGGCTGGACGCTGAAGTGCGCGAGCTTGGCGATCGCAAAGACGACGGGGAGCGTCGCTTGGTTCTTGACGCTCAAGAGCATGTCGACGCGCGCCCCGGCGGCACACTCGCCAAAGTCAAAGCACTCGGGCGAAATCGACACGTGCGGCGTCACCGCCTACGCCAGCGCGTCATCCATGCAACACTGGCCTTCGTATTCGTACCGTGCCCGAGATTTCAATTGTGATGTTTTGGTTGAGCTCGGCGCACTCGACGGACGCAAACGCGCGAAGTGGCCGCCCCTGCGCTTCGAGCGGGTTGTTCTCGGCCGCCAACGACGGACGCCGCAGTCGCTGCGAGAGCAGCATGCTCGGCTTGTACACGAACGACAAGAGCACGTGGCCATACGGCGGGATGTAGCCCTCGGCCGGCATCGCCGTGAGCTCCTTCTTCTTTTCCTCATAGTCGCCGCCGTCGTCTTCGGGGCTCGCACTACATGACTCTCGTCACCTCCTACACTAGAGGTGGGAGCTATCGTACATTTCATCGCCGGCTCGGAAAGGCCGGCCCGTGAGCGAGATGCCCGTCTGAAACCCCACCGGTTGTGGACCGTTGTTGCGCAAGACCGTGTCGATCTGGCGCGTCTCGCCCGTGTAGAGCATGCCAAAGGGCAGCATCTTGACAGGTTCGTGGACGAGACCGTCGCTGCTCGGAAACACGAGCTCCATCGTATGCTCCACGACGGTGGCGCTAATGTCGAGGAGCGCCTGCTTGCGGCCTTCGGTGATGCGGATCATCGCAATCGTGCGAAAGCTGCCGAGGTCCCGCGCCTGGAAGTCGACCTTGAGCTTCGCCTCGCACTGCGCGGGGATGACGCCGGCTTTCGGCGTGATGGTCAATGGCAGCCCGGCTTCGGTCTCGATTGAAAAGTGGGCTTCGCGCGCGCCGACGTTGGCGATGTTGACGTACTTGGCCGTGCGCTGGGATAAGACCACCATGCCGAGATCGATGAGCGAGTCGAAGCGCAGCGCGGGCGACGGCCGGCGCGCCACCTACAACACTGCAATATGAGCGCATGGAAACGGCAAAGTGAGAAAGGCCACCAAGGGAATCTCGATCGGCGCGCTGTTTTCAACGAGGATGAGCAGCTTGTCGTGGAGGTCGTCGTCGCAACTCTCGGGCAGCGCTTCGAGAAGGAACGACACGTCAAACTTGATGGCGAGGCCCGGCGACAGCGTCCGCGTCGGGTTGGCCACGAGCGCCAAGTCTTGCTGGTCCAGAAGCACGCGAAAATGGCGCGAGGCTGGCCGCGTGAGCCGGAAGCGCACCGAGTACCGGCTCGTGTTCTGGACGCTCAGCGCCACGAGGTAGCATGTCATGGCCTCGACGTTGGTAAACTCGATCGACGTCGGCGCGACTGTGACCATCGCCGCCCGCGACGCCGAGAGCGCTAGCATCGCACCCAAGAAGATACTGCGTCGCTTCACAAGCCGGCTCGTATCCGGATGCGAACCCCACGTGCGCGCACTTGCTCGCACATCCGGATCCGAACCCCAGACGCGCGCACGGGCATGCAAAGATCGCTCACGTTGCCTCGGTGGACCAATGACCGACCGCCGCGTCAGCGCGACCACTGCATGCACGTGACAAGGGCCAATGCCAATCGACGTCAACCACTTCAACGTCGCCTCTCTAGCGACTTACGCGCACCGGAAGCGCGCGCGTCCGAGCGACCACGCGTTATGAGCTAGAGCGGGCGAACGACCACAAGCATCAAGCCATGGCCTGGCGTGAGGACAGGGGCCACCACCGCCGTCTGCCACGAGCGAGGTGCTAGCCGATCCTTTGGCAGCTACCGTACCCCAAGCCTTTCTGCACCCTGCAACGCAGCTGTTGTAGCTACTGCAGCAGTAGGTCCACGGCCATGATGGGCTCCGGGCCATGCATCTCGGTTGGACGAAGCTGTGGCGCGCGGCGAGCAATCATCTGGTAGCTTGAGGTGCACGGTAACGAATGCGCAATCGGATTGGCTGAAAAGCAAAGATCGCGCGAATGTGATTGGCTCTGTGTATCCGGAAACAGGTTGCATCCGCGGTGGGAGCCATTTGCATCTTTGCGTGGCCAAGGAAAGATGGGGAAGATCATCGACCGGCTCTTGGAGCTGGAGAAGACGGGGACGCCGAGCGTGAGCTTCGAGTTCTTCCCGGCCAAGACGGAAGATGGCGTCTTCAACCTCCTCAACCGCGTCGAGGAGATGGGCTTCCAGCTGCAGCCGACCTTTGTGACCTTGACGTGGCGCAGCGGCTTCAAGGACGAGAAGCTCTGGCTCAAGATCGGCGCGCACATCCAGAACGAGTTCAAGATCGACGTGCTCATGCACTTGACGTGCCACTTGCCGCAGGACCAGCTCCGTGTCATCTTGCAGAACGCACGCAACGCCGGTACGCGACCTCGTCATGGCCGACCATTTGTGATGGCACATTGTAGGCATTCGCAACATCTTGGCCTTGCGCGGTGACCCGCCGATCGGCGCCGAGCGCTGGAAGGCTGTGCCCGGCGGCTTCCGCAACGCGGTCGAGCTCATTCGGTTCATCCGCCAAGAGCACGGCGACTACTTTTGCGTTGCAGCCGCGGGCTACTCGGAGGTGCACACGGAGGCGTGGAACAACCCCAACTTGCCGCCGTCCGACCAAGTGCGCAACCTCGACATGCTGCGCCTCAAGGAAAAGCAAGACGCGGGCGCAGACTTTATCATCACCCAGTTCTTCTTTGACGTCGACAAGCTCTCGCAGTGGATTCGCGACTGCCGCGCCGTTGGCATCCGCGTCCCGATCCTGCCAGGGTACGTACTTGTATGCGAGAGGTGGCTCATCGCGACGCGACTAGGTATCTCCCGATTCAAAACTACAATTCGTTCTTGAAGTTCACCAACTGGTGCAAGACAAGCGTACCGGACCACGTGGTGCAGGCGCTCAACTCAATCAAGAACGACGACGCCGCCGTCAAGAAGTATGGCATCCAGCTCGCGATCGAGACGTGCCGCAAGCTCATGAGCCAGCAGCTCTCGCTCCACTTCTACACCATGTACATGCTTGTCCCACGTTATGCCATGGGCTTATCGCGTCGGTAGGAACCTCGCGTCGTCGGTCCGGAGCGTGCTCGAGGGCCTCAACTTGATCCCGCGCCGCCACGAGCGCGACTTGCCCTGGGGTTTGCCCATGCTGCGTCGCAAGGAAGGCTCTGCCGACAAGATTGAGCAAGTCCGCCCGATCTTTTGGTCCAACCGCGCGTCGAGCTACGTGGCGCGCACGTCCGAGTGGGACGACTTCCCGAACGGCCGGTGGGGCGACCGGTCGAGTCCCGCATACGGCGAGCTCTCCGAGTACTACCTCGCGTACAAGCGGCCCAAGGTCGCCCGCGAACGCGTGTGGGGCACGCCGCTCACCGAGCAAGACGTCTGGAGCGTCTTTGTCAAGTTCATCGAAGGCTCCGTCAAGACGGTACTCGCGTCATAAGCTGTACTATGGCGGCTGACAGTGGAGCTAGCTGCCGTGGTGCGAGCAAGGACTCTCGGGCGAAAGTACCATCATCCGCGAAAACTTGCGCTGGATCAACTCGATGGGCTTCCTCACCATCAACTCGCAGCCGCGGATCAACGGCGCGCCGTCCGAGGATCCGAGCGTCGGGTGGGGCGGCAAGGGCGGCTTTGTCTTCCAGAAGGCGTACGTCGAGTTCTTTGTGCCACCGCACCTCATGGAGCGCCTCCTCGTACGTTCCGCACTTGGATTTGCTACATGGAGACTCATGCAGCTCAACATGTAGGTGGCGCTCAAGGACTACCCGAACCTGTCGTACCATGCGTTTAGCGCCAACGGTAGAGCCCTCAACACGTCGTCTCGCGGATGCTCATGTCCAGCTCCTAGGCACCGAATACACGAACGCGCCGGGGCCAAGCGTCACGGCCGTCACGTGGGGCGTCTTCCCGGGCCAGGAAATCATTCAGGTATCGAATCATGACGTCCGGACGGTCACTGGACGGTCATATAGCCAACGGTCGTCGACTCGGCGAGTTTTGCGGCGTGGAAGGACGAAGCGTTCGAGCTCTGGATGAGCCAGTGGGCATCGGCGTATGCTAGCGACAGCGTGTCGCACAGCGTCATCAAGGTCCGTCACCGTCCTCCTCGCAATAAGATCTCATGGCAATGTCATAGGAGGTCTACGAGTCGTATGTGCTCGTCAACATTGTCGACCACGACTACACGAACGGTAGGCATGGCTGTCGTCTGTCATGACGAGAAGTGACGGCGTCCGGCGTAGAGGACAGCGATATCTTCAAGATCTTTGCGCGCGTCATCACCGAAGGGATGACGAAGGACGACCTCCGCGGCCGCGTCCTCGAGCTCGAAGAGAAGAACGAAAAGCTGCACGAGACCGTCGCCAAGCTCAAGATCATCCAGTCCGAAGCCAGTCGCGAGCTCAAGGAAGTGCACCAAGAGCTCTCGGCGTCGCGCGAAGAGAACAACCGCTTGAAGACGCAGCTGCGCGAGCTCCGCGCCCGCGCCGCGCTCTCCGCGATCTAGCAACCGGTGGAGCTCGGACCCCCATTCTCCACGTTGATGATGGCAATCCGTATAACACGCTGTGGTTTTCTTGTCCTCGAAAGATCGCCAAAGCTTCGAATTTTTAGCAAATATTTCGATTTTATAGCTAAAATTTCGAACCGTCGCAATCTGTGAACATCACCATGGCGGACGGTCCACCGCCGCTCTGCGAGATGCCACCGGCACCGAGCGTCATGGACGAGATGATGGCCGCGGCCACGCAGGCCAGAGCGCTCAAGGACGCTGCGAAAGCGGTCGAGGCCAAGCAGCGCGCCACGTCATTCGGTGCGGGCTTGAAGAAGGGCTTCTTTGCGGCCCCGGCCCGTCCCAAGACGACCGCCCCGCCAACGTCCAAGACAGCCGCCAAGCCCGAGATCGAGACGCTACGGCCGACCAAGAAGCATGCGCTCGAGTTTCCCGAGGTCCAGGCAGCGATGCAGGGGCTCGCGACGAACGGTGGGTACTCTGGCACCGCGACAGCAGATCTCATGCCATGCGTAGACTGGATGACGCCCGACTTTATGGACAAGCTCGCCAAGAACCCGAAGCTCTGCGTCGCACTGCAGAACCCTCGGTTCACGACCGCGATTCAAGAACTCTCGACCAACCCGGAGAAGGCCATGGCCAAGTATCAAGTACGCCACTCGATATAGAGAGGATGTGACGCGGCAGCATAGCACGACGCCGACGTCTCGACGATGCTGCGCGACTTTATGCAGTTTATGGGCGCCCATTTCGAGGCCTTGGGCAAGGCCGCTGACGCCGACGCAGCCAAAGCTAGCCAGCGCCACGCTCTCGAAGCCGCAGCCCAGACACCGCAAGAGCAGGCCCAAGTGCAGCGCATCCTGAGCGACCCGGAGCTGCAAGCCATCTTGTCCGACCCCGAGATGCAAGCCGTGCTCCAACGCTGTACGGCGCCCGGCGTCCTCCTTCGCTACCTCCACGACCCGATCGTTGGCCCCAAGATCCGCAAGCTCCAAGCCGCGGGGCTCGTCCAGCTGCACCCGTAAAAACACCGTCAAAATCGATACACTAGCGTGTTTTTGAATGTACGGATACACCATGTTTATCCGGATGATCCTCGTTGGTTCTTCGGTTACACAGTTGCAAGCGTCGAGCAGGATGCGCAAGCAGCCGTCGTCGACCAAGGTGTATCCGACGGCGCCGGCCTACACCGAGGTTACGCCTGTCGTCGCGGACGCCGACCTTCCGCGTAAGTCGAGCTTGGCGCCGCCCCTTGCGGGTCACCCGGTACGACGGCGCGTAAGGCTGGAAAGGTGCAAGCCGTCGTAGGCGCGCGGCCGCGTCGCGACGCTGCGCGGGCTCGCGACGCGCCTCTTGGCGTCAACGTGGTTTGCGACCTTTATCACGCTGGTCGTGCTTCTCAATACGATCACGCTCGGGCTCGTCGACTACAGCGATCCATGGGCTGACGGGCCCAACCCTACACTTCTGCGGAATCGGCTCGTCGATCAAATGAACAACATTAGCCTCGGCATCTTCCTCGCCGAGGCGGTGCTCAAAGTGCTTAGCATGGGCTTTCTGTACGGACCGACCGCGTACTGCAAGGACAGCTGGAATCTGCTCGACCTCGTCGTGCTGCTCTCGGGGTCTCGACGCCGACGCTACCTCGTTCGTCTTCTCATATGCAAGTGTAGATGTCTGGGCTGGTTCTTCCATGCCGGGAGCGTCGGGCAGCTGCGCATTTTGCGCGTGCTTCGGCCACTGCGCACACTGCACTCGTTTCCAGGTCCTGCTGTTTGTACGAGGCGCGTCTCAAGGGACGTACTAGGGCTCAAGGTGCTCGTCAACGGCGTGCTCTCGAGCTTGCCCGCGCTCTTTGACGTCGGCATTCTACTCGGGTTTAGCTATCTAGTATTTGCGATTCTGGGCATGGAAATCTGGTCCGGAACGTACCACCATCGGTGCCGGCTCACGGAATTCCCCGTCGTCCTCGACTTTGACGCCGGTAACGCGCCCAGCGCCGGCGCGTACCCCAACACGACGTATCTGAGCCTCGTGTTGGACAATCCGAATGCCTATCGATGTCCGCGCATCGACGTTGAGAGCGACAACTGGACGACGCCGCTCGACTGTTTCTGGCCGCTCAACTTGAACGACACGCAGTACTGCGGCAGCCGCGCTTGCGCGCCAGGGACGTACTGCGGCTCCAACTACGACGCGTCCGGCCGGCCCCGCTTTCGCAATATACTATTCAACGGCTCACTGCTCGTCGATATGGCAAACGAGGGCGACTTTCTTCCGAATCTCAACTTTGGCCTCACGAGCTTCGACACGGTCGGGTACACGCTCGTCATCATTGCGCAGATCGTGACGGCGTCGGGCTGGATGGTGCTCACGCAAAACGTACGTTCTACAAGGTGGACAAGTTGTCTCATTTGCACTAGACGCAAGATGCCTACTCGTGGCTCGCCGCTGGTGTGTACTACAACTCGGTGCTCTTTGTCGGCATGTGCTTTTTGCTGCAGCTCAACATGGCCGTCATGTTCAATGAGTACGAAAAAGCCAAGGCGGCCCTCGACAAGGCCGCCGCGCGGCCGCTCGTGTTGATTCGCCGGCGCATCCAGCGGCAATATTACCGCCGCATCAAGCTAGTGCCACCGTCGACGTTGCGGCGTCACGTGCGAAATGTCGTCACGAGCGTCTGGTTCCACCGCCTCGGGCTCAGCATGACGTTGCTCAATGTGGCGCTGCTGGCGTCCGACCACCACCCGCAGTCGCCAACGTTCGCTGCCAACGTCGAGTTTGGCAACTTTTGTTTTCTTGTCTACTTTGCCCTTGAGATGGCGCTCAAGATTTACGGGCTTGGGTTCATAGCCTACCGCAAGTACGTCGACGAGCGTATGACATAGCGATCACCTTGCTGCGTAGAGACCGGTTCAACCTGTACGACATGGTGACCATCTTAATCGGCGGTGTCGAGACGCTCTTACATCCGCCGGCCTTTCTCGATGGCACGCCCGGCGTTCGGTCGCCGTTGGCGATTCTTCGCGCTGCACGCGCGATCAAGCTCGCGTACTCGTGGCCGAGTCTCCAGCGACTGCTCACGGCCATTGTCGGCGCCCTCCACGAAATTCTCAACTTTCTCTTCTTCCTCGTGCTCTTCATCTACATGTATGCGCTCATGGGCATGGAGGTACTCGATGCCGTCTCTTGTCGTTCGTCCTAACGTCTCCTCACGTTAGCTCTTTGCGACCAAGTACAAGTTTGACGCGCGCAATCGCCCGTCGCCCTTCAACGCGACCGACCCGAGCGTGACCCTGCACCGGGCCAACTTTGATACGATTCAGTGGGCGTTCTTCACTGTCTTCCAAGTCATCACGTACGACAACTGGCCCGCCGTCATGTACGACGGCTGGCTCAGCGCCGGTCTCGTCGCACCGTTTTACTTTGTCTCGATCGTCATCCTCGGCGTCTGGGTCGTCATGAACATGTTCTCGGCCATCATGGTGCAGTCCGTCATGGAAGATGCGAGCGCCAAAACGGCCATGATCGGCGACGTCGACGCCAACCTCTGCACGCGACTGCGCTTGCGCCAGCTCAAGCGCATCCTCCGACGCCTCATGGGCGTGACACCCGTGCTCTCGGCGCCGGCAAGGGCCGCGGACGAGTCGGTGCTTGGCCGTAAGAGCTTTGGCTGCGTTGGCCTCTCGTCACCGCTGCGCCAAGCGTGTCTCTCGCTCGTACGGCACCAGCGATGGCATCTGTGCGTCACGGCGAGCATCATGGTCTCGTGCGTCGTGACGGCGCTCGATACGCCGCTGCTCAACCCGACTAGCGGGCTGGGCTACACCCTGACGGTCATCAACAACACCCTCGCGATCGTCTTTACCCTCGAGATGCTGCTCACGATGCTCGCTCTCGGCTTTACGGCGTATCTCACCGACCCGTGGCGCGTGCTTGACCTCTTCATCGTCGGAGTGTGTCTCTTGAGCTGGTCGGCCACGGGCGTGTTTGCGCAGCTGCGGGCGCTGCGGTCGCTCCGCGCCCTTCGGCCACTGCGTGTCATCCACCGCCTTCCGCAGCTGCAGGTCGTTGTCAACACACTCTTCCGGTGCTTGCCCGACATTGGTCGGTCGCTTCTCTTCTTTGTGTTTATGCTGCTCCTCTTTGGCATTGCGTGCGTCAAGTTTTTCAAAGGTAGTCTGAGCACGTGCTCGATTAGTCCGTACGACTACCTCGACACGCCGCTGTATTCACCGCCGCCGCCGTGGTTCCCCCCAAACTACGCGGGCGACTACTCGATGTCGGACCTCATGCAGTGGGACGTCATGAGCTTTCCGCGGCCTTGGGACAACCTCACTCTTGCATCCCAAATGGTGCTGGCGCCGTACTGGAACGGCACGTGCCACTTTGGCGCGATACCACCCACGTCCAAAGATGTGTGCGAGTGCTTCAACTTGACGTGGGACCCGGTCGTGCCGCAGCGCTTTGACAATATTGCGCTCGCGCTCGGCTCGCTGTACGAGCTCACGACGATGGAAGGTTGGAGCTTTGTCGCGATAGCGGCGGTGGATGCAACCGGTCCCGACAGCCAGCCGCTGCGCAACCACCAAGAAGGCTGGATGGTGTTTTGGTTTCTCTTCATGGTCATCGGCGCGTTCTTCGTCACGAACCTCTTCATCGGCGTCCTCTGCGACAGCTTTATGCGCGAAAACTACGGCGTCATGGTCACGGACGAGCAACTCGACTGGATCAAGCTCCAGCGCAAAGTGCTCACAATGGCGCCCGTCGTGCGGTACCCGCCGCCGTCCGAGTCGACTTGGCGCCTTGCCTGCTACACTTTGGTCGAGCAGCCGGCGTTTGAGACGAGCGTCATGGCTGCGATTCTCCTCAACCTCTGCCTCATGTCGATGAGTTCGTTTGGCCAACCAGTGTGGGTCAAGACGACATCGACCGTCGCCACCAACGTCCTCTCGGTCGCCTTTGCGTTGGAAGCCGCTCTCAAGATTGCCGCTTTTGGGCCGCGCTACTTTGCCAGCAGCGCCCACCGCTTTGACTTGGCGGTCGTTCTCCTCGCACTCATCGGGATGGGGCTGCCCGACTCGGCGGGCATGGGCACGATCGCTACCGTCGTCCGCGTCTTCCGCGTCGGCCGAGTCTTGCGGCTGTTCCAAAAAGCAACTCTGCTCAAGAGCCTGTACGACACGATTATGGTGTCGCTGCCTGCGATGGGCAACGTCACGGCGCTCCTCATGCTGCTCTACTACATCTTTGCGGCTGTCGGCGTCCAGCTGTTCGCCAAGGTAGCGTACGGTCCGAGCATGGTCAACCCGCACCAGAATTTCCAGAACTTCTGGCTCGCGCTCCAGACGCTCATTGGATTCTCGACGGGCGAGAACTGGAACAACTACCTCTGGGAACTCTACAACATTGAGCCAATTACCAATCCCGACTGCATCGAGCCGGCGTTCAACGCGTCTGTCTGCGGCTTTGGCGACGCGCTCAACTGCGTCCCCCTCGACGGCTGCGGTACGACGCTACATCGTGATTCGTTCTATGCGATGCGTAGGGCCGTGGTACATTGTGCCCTTCATGTACCTCTTTGAACTTGTCGTGGGCTACATTGGACTCAACCTCTTCTCGGGTATCGTGGTCGATGCGATCGGTGACTCGTGTGCAAAGTCGGCGCTCTCGCCGAGCAATTTAGCCGAATTTACGGCCATGTGGGCCGAGTACGACCCGAACGGGTCTGGTTTTGTCTCGATCGACGACCTCTGCCGCCTCTTGAGCCGGCTGAGCCCACCCTTTGGCTTCAAGCTCGTCGAGACCATGACAACCCGCAAGATCTACCACGCCATCGGTACCAACCGCTAAAGCAAAGTGTTCCGGCTCAACACTCTCTAGGGGGCCTCGACATTCCCATCTACGACGGGCGGCTCGTTCACTTTAAGGACGTCCCGCGTGCGCTCGTCCAGCGCTCGCTCAGTGAGGTGCGACGTTGGCCACTCGACTACGATCTTATATCGTGTTTGAGCTAGGGCGACCGCAGTAAGTTTTATGAAATCGGCGCGCTCATGGCCCGCCTCGGTATCGCCAAGCAATTCGACGACGTCTGGCAGCGTGGCCACAGCAAGGCGACGCTCCGCGACCTCCGCGCCCGCGCTGTGACGCCGATCCAAGACTTTGTAGCGATCTTGATCATTGCCAAGTTCCTCCGCCGTGTGCGGTACCGACAAGAGCGCCGGCGGCGGCTCTGTCGGCGGCTACTGCACATCGAGCTAACGTCGCGCTGGGCGCGCCTCGAAGCCAAGTTTCAATCGCCTCATTCGGCGCCCCGCCAACTCCCGCCGTTGGAGCATGCGCCGCCCCACCCCTACGTGTTATAAACCACTTTAGTTGAGAAGCTATTTTTGCTGCCAATGGGGGTTTTGGTCGCGGAGGCTATTCCTAGTCGGTCCACGCTAAGGTTGCTAGAAAGCCGCCGATGGGGCTCTGCGCGAGCTCGAGTCTGGCGCCGGTGGAGGCCATGGCGCCGGTCGTGCCGCCGACACCAGAAGCTGCGACTGCCGATGCAGCACGCGCTACGACAGCCGAAGAAAGTGCCCCCCCGCCCGTGGAGTCCGATGCCCCACTGCCTGTGGAGTCGAGTGCCCCACCGCCTGTGGAGTCGAGTGCCCCACCCCGGGCCCAATCCCTCTCCATCAGCGCGGGTGCGCCACCCAGTGCGGCCGAAACGAGCCCCGAAGCACCGCACCGATCGCTGATACCGGACCTCCCGGCCACTTTTCGGCGATTTTCGCTGCGTCGCAAGTCGTCGTTTGCTCAAAGTAGTCTGGGCGCGTCGCCGTCATCGCGCAAGGTGAGCGCCAACGGCGTGCTCAAGGCGATTCTCGCGAGGAGCTCGAGAGACCTCACGGTGATGGACACGGATGTGACGACCGAGAGCTTGCTCACGGTACCCACACGGAGCGTCGTCATCTGGCCGACTCATTTGGCGTAGAGCGTTCGCATTGCCCGCGCCTTCTTTGACTTTATCCAGGTTAAGAGCGAGGATGGTCCCCGCGAATACCACATGATTGAGCTCGGCGTCAAATTCTGGATGGCCGTGCGCGGTACGAGATCGCACAACTTGGTTTGCATCTGGTCATCGTTGTGACCAGATCTGGAAAAAATCACATCAGGAGCGTTCAAAGTGCTCACCGTCGTCGGGATCTACAAGACATTTCTTCAACCCAACGCCAAGCAAGAGGTGTGAGCACCTCGTTCGATGCGGTGGTAGCATCATTTTCGATGTAGCTTGTGGTGCTGAGTCTGGTCGAGCGACAGCAGATCCAAGCCAAACTGGACGAAGACCAGATTCCAGAAACCATCGAACTCCTCAATCAAATGGCCGACGACGTAGCACCCTAGATTGAAAGAGCCTGATACATCCCGCCGCGTAGGAGGTGCGCTCGTCGGTGCAGCCCGTCTTTCGCGCATTCGTGGCCGACAAGTCGCCGCACGGGTATACCGAGAGCTGCCTCGCAACGAGCATGCTCCCCAACATGCAGCCGTTCATGAACGAGAAGAAGGAGCGGCTCGAGGAGATTCTCGATCAATCCTACTCGCGCCGGAGTCTGCGCGACTACTTTAGCCGCGTCGGCGAGTCGCCCGAGTTTCTCTTCATCGTCGACGTCCTTGAGTACCGCGATAGCACCGAAGCGCTCATCACCGGTAGTCGCCAACTATCAACGTATCGAGTCGAGATCTCTGGGTAGACGCGCTCAGCGAAGAAAAGAAGCATTTGCACAGCGGCTTTCTCATGCATGCCGTGCACAAGATGTACAACAAGTACCTCAAGGCCGGGTCCAAGTCGATGGTACTTTGTCTAGGACTGTGCGTGTCTCATAAACGACTAGATTCGTATTTCGAGCACGAACCGCGACATGATTTTGGCCGAAATCTCGTGCATGGACCCGCCCAAGCTCGATGTATTTGACGCGGCGCTGCGCGAGTGCTCGTTCCTGCTCATCACGGAGCACCTCGAAGCGTTCCTGTCGTCGCCCGAGTACGCAGGCATGAAGTCGCACCGCGCGAGCCTATTAGCCGGTACCGCTCACCATCGGTCAGAGATCCCAACCACCTGCGTAGGCGGCTTGCTGCAGTTTGGTCAAGCACTCACGGCTCATGCGACGCTCGCAACATCGCCGAGCTCGACGCACGTCGCCGAAGCCGACCGACTCCGCGTCGAGGATGTGGTCAAAGGCGTTGGCGCGTCCGCCTTCCGCATGCACCTGCGCGAGTACAAGATGGAGCACACCCTGGATTTTTACCTCGAGATCGACCAGTTCCAGCTGCTCCCGCACAACAAGCGCGACTACATTGCTGCAAAAGCGTCCAAGCTCTTCAACAAGTACATTCGCCGTGGAGCGAAAATGGAAGTCGCGCTCCCGGGGCACATTCGGCAAGCGATCCTCACGTCGATCGCGGACCCCGCCGAAGACATTTTCAACGACGCGCATCTGCATTTGCTGTACCTCTGGGAGTCAAAGCTCTGGAAGTCGTTTGAGAAATCGCCCAAGTACTTGGAGCTTGTCCAGATGTACAAGGAAGAGCGCGAGGCGGCGGCGTACGTTCTCCTCCGTCTCGGTTTAGTGTTATGCGTGTGTGCAGGCTCGTGGCGGACGGCGCGGGCGACGTCAAGACACTGCAGATGCTCACGTCCACGGACGTGAAAGCGCTTTTGCTCCAAGACGGCCCGCTCCTCACGCAGTTTCACAAGTTCCTCGTCAAGGAGAACTGCACGTCGTACCTCCTGTTTTACATGCAAGTCGAAGAGTACAAGCGGCTGCCAAAGTCGGATTTCCTGGCGCGCCAGAGCAAGAAGATCTACCACCGGTTCCTCAACTCGACCGCCAAAGAGTTTGTGAGCGTCTCGGACGAAACCATGGCGAGCATCCACGAGATGCTGCCGAATCCGTCGCCGCAGACCTTCCACCTCGCCCAAGAGGAAGTGCTCCATTTTCTCTGGAAGACGCTGTACCCAAAGTTCCAGAAGTCTGTGTTCTTCACCAATGCGATGGCCAAGCCCGCGTCGCCGATCGTCGGCCGGCGCACGCTCAAGGACGGCGACGCGTCACCCTTGTCGGCGCGGTCTCGCAGGTTCCTTCCGACCGTGGTGCAGCGCACGTTTGCATCCCGCGTCTCGACGAGCCGGACGCTGGCGGCGCCGACGATCGACGACATTCTGGCCAACCTTCAGAGCCGCGCGCTCTTTCTCGCATTTTGCGAAGACATGTACGCGCTATCCTTGTCGGTGGTAGGAACGACACTATGGTGCATAGCTTTTGTGCCGAGAGCATGTACTTTTGGCTCGAGTGCCTCGAGTTTCAGCGCATTCCGCACACCGACTACCTCCGCTTGCGCGCGCAAAAGATCTACCGCAAGTACATTGCGACGTCGGCCAAGCTCCAAGTCAACCTCATTCACTCGATCGTCCGCGATATTGAAAAGCAAATGGAGAACCCGGGCCGCCAGCTCTTTGCCAAGGTATTTTTTGTGTTTGGGGATGATCGTGCACAGGGTGTGATGTAGGCCCAGCAAGCCATCGTGTTTATGCTCAATAAGGATACGCTGCCCAAGTTTCTCAAGTCGAAATACGTACTGCATCGTGTCGCGATATGATAGATGCTCATCATATGTGTCTAGTACGATCCGTGCTGCAAGATCATTGCGGATGCACAAAGCTAGAGCGCGTGGCCGTGACGAGACGCAGACTCGTCGCCTCGGAGCTCGTCGCGCGGAGCGTTAACTAGGCAGCAGAGACGTATTTAAACATGAAGATGAAGTTCGTTGGAGCACATACCGTGCTGTGCAAACTGCCCTGCCACAGCACGTGGTGCGTGGGCCCGAGACCGACGAGCAGAACGCTGCAGTTGAAGAGTCGACCCAGTCGTTTGAGCTGCAGCGAGATGGATCGTATAAGCCCGAGCTCTATAGAATCAAAGTCATCGTCACAAGGAGCGGCCAAGATGCGTGGCGACCGTAAGCGTCGTGCGTGGCCTGCTGGAGGCACGCCATGTCCACGACCAAAAGCTTGGGCGCGCGTTGGGCGGTCGCCTACGCACCCGCCGAGTCAGGCTATGCTCAGGTAGGAGCTCGTACCAGCGTCTCGAGCGTCCACAACAGCTGCGCAAGCGAGCGCAGTGGTTCCAGCTGGACGTTCTGCAGCAGGTCGCCGACGCACCGACCTTGCCGCTGTATCCGCGCGGCCAGTCGCTTGGCGAGCACCGGGAGGAACGGACTGATGGCGACGATGTAGTCGCCCGCCTCGGCGCGCGCGACGACGAGGCCATCGACCACGTCGGTCTGCAGCGCCTCGGGGCCCTCAACACCGTGGACGCCGGTGTGCAGCATCGCCATATCCGGATATCAGCTGGACATCCGGATGTGACGGTACTGGCATCCGGACAAGCGCTGCATCCGTTCGCGAAACTATCCGGATGACCAGCATCTGGCAGCACCCACGTGAAGATCGCTCGCACGACGCCCGCTGCCTGTTGCTTGCAACAGCAACCACCGCCGCTTGCAGGTCGCACGCTCTACCTACTTGGTATAACAGCATCGCACTTGGTACAACAGTATAGCACAAGGCAGCTTTCGGTGACGGAACATAAGCCACGTACCTCCTCGATCTTCGGGCGGCTTCGCCTGCATCAAAACAGAAGGGCAGTGACATCACAGCGCTGCATGTACACGCAGCCCAGAAGCGCGATGGCATTCAAATGCTTGCTCGAGTGCCAAACACCCGTTCTCCGCAGCAGCAGCACCGCACGCCGTGTACTATGGTCGCACGGTCCGCCTCGGTCGCAGCGCGATGATGCTGGCCGAAGCTTGTGGCATCATCGCTTCGATTACCGCCGCTTTGAGCGGCTTGGCCCTATCTTTGCATCGGTGGCGCCAGGTCCTTGGCCGCGAGCCAGTCGAATCAAACTTGTCGACGCTGGTGGCGTGCATCATCACACGCTGTGATTCCATTGGTTGAAATCTGCCATTTCTATTGCATCCACCAATGAGCGACGCGCTCGATTTGATGACATCACATCGCGTTGCACGGCCGTACACGAGCGTACCGTCCATCCGGTTTGCATACAAAATTCAAGTAAACACGTACAAAGCGTACATTTTAATGTACAGTAATGTACGCTTTTGCCCGACCCCGCGTGTGGCAAAGCGTATCCTGCGAATCATCATTTTCGGATTGGTTGCCATGTGCAAAGGTCAAGCTCCTTCCAAGGCCGACGCGTTCCACGCTGCGGGGTACCGCCCGGTCGCCGGCACGCCCGAGCCGCTGCCGCTGGAGCCCCCGACGATCACGCTCAAGGACCTGCGCGCGGCGATCCCGGCCCACTGCTTTGAGCGCAGCGCTGCCACGAGCTTTTACCATTTGGCCAAGAACCTTGCGATCTGCGCCGGCGTGTTCGCCGTTGGCCTCAAGCTCGCGGCTGCCGACTTGCCGCTCGCGGCCAAGCTGGTCGCGTGGCCCATCTACTGGTTCGTCCAGGGCACGTACTTTACGGGCATCTGGGTCATTGCGCACGAATGCGGCCACCAGGCGTTCTCGGCGTCCGAGATCCTCAACGATACGGTCGGTATCATTCTTCACTCGCTCCTCTTTGTGCCGTACCACAGCTGGAAGATCACGCACCGCCGCCACCACTCCAACACGGGCAGCTGTGAGAACGACGAGGTGTTTACGCCGACGCCGCGGTCCGTCGTCGAGGCCAAGCACGACCACTCGCTCCTCGAAGAGAGCCCGCTCTACAACCTGTACGGCATCGTCATGATGCTTCTCGTGGGCTGGATGCCGGGCTACCTCTTCTTCAACGCGACCGGCCCGACCAAGTACGCTGGCCTCGCCAAGTCGCACTTCAACCCGTACGCAGCCTTTTTCCTCCCAAAGGAGCGCCTCAGCATCTGGTGGAGCGACCTCTGCTTCCTCGCGGCCTTGTACGGCTTTGGCTACGGCGTCTCGGTCTTCGGCCTCCTCGATGTCGCCCGCCACTACATCGTGCCGTACCTCATCTGCAACGCGTACCTCGTGCTCATCACGTACCTCCAGCACACGGACACGTACGTGCCCCACTTCCGCGGTGACGAGTGGAACTGGCTGCGCGGCGCGCTCTGCACCGTCGACCGCTCGTTCGGCGCTTGGATCGACAGCGCGATCCACCACATTGCCGACACGCACGTGACGCACCACATTTTCTCCAAGATGCCCTTCTACCACGCGATCGAGGCGACCGACGCCATCACGCCCCTCCTCGGCAAGTACTACCTCATCGACCCGACGCCGATCCCGCTGGCGCTCTGGCGCTCGTTCACGCACTGCAAGTACGTCGAGGACGACGGCAACGTTGTGTTTTACAAGCGCAAGCTCCAGGAAAAGTAAATAGAAATACGTTTGCCATCAGAGCAACCACGAGGAATGGCTTGGCGCGCCAACGCTGCTGTCGAGAGCGCGCTGCCGCTGCAGCCGACGCGCACCCACCTTGCGCAGGAGCCAGCGCAGAATGACGCGCGCGGCTACGTGCTGCGCAATGGGCTTGACGTCGGTGCACTGGACGATGCTATTGTGCATGGCCTTGAAGCGCTTGGCCCAGTGGTCGTGGAAGGCTTTCGTGATCCCCATCTGGTCCATGACCGAGCTCATTTGCCGGAAGCGCACCGGGTCGCCCTACGAAGCCCAACACCCAGTATTCACCCAACAAGCAAGGTGGCAGGAGGCAGGTACCTCGCTCATCGACCGGATCACGAGGGCGCGGGGCACGTCGCGAAAGTGAACAAACTTGCTGTCGTATATGGTGATGCCCAGTGTGCCTAGAGGGTGTCGGTTGACCGGAGCTCTCCGGGCGGCGTACCGAGGACGTGCTGGATGCGCGCGGTGGTGTACTGCGGCAAGCCGCGGAAGCCCAGTGGCGGTGGAAGGCTTCGCAGCACGCGGCAGAGGTCGTCGACGTGCAAGCGCCCAACACCGCCGGGGTCGTACTTGGACCAGAGACGCGCGAGCTCGGGGAGGTCCTCGACTGCCGACGCCGTCGTGGCGTCGGCATCAGCGACGGCGTCGACGATGATACCTAGGGTTGGGGTTAGAGGTCCGGCGTCCTTGGATGACGACGCACTGGAGAAGAGGTTGAGGCCGATGTAGCCGACGACCATCATGAAAATATAGAAAAATGGAATGACGAGCCACGTGCCTATCACGTATTGTAGCAAACAGGCGAGCGGATATACGCAGAGTACCGCAGCCGTCGAGGGGGACGCAGTTGAGCGCGTCGCCAAAGCCGCAGAAAGACGCGTTGAACGCCGGCTCGATGCAGTCGGGATTGGTAATTGGCTCAATGTTGTAGAGCTCCCAGAGGTAGTTGTTCCAGTTCTCGCCCGTCGAGAATCCAATGAGCGTCTGGAGCGCGAGCCAGAAGGTCTGGAAATTCTGGTGCGGGTTGACCATGCTCGGACCGTACGCGACTTTGGCGAACAGCTGGACACCGATGGCCGCAAAGATGTAGTAGAGCAGCATGAGGAGCGCCGTGACGTTGGCGACCGCCGGCAGCGAGACGGTGATCGTATCGAAAAGGCTCTTCATGAGCTTGGCTTTTTGGATGAGCCGGAGGGCGCGGCCGGCGCGGAAGACGCGGAGCACGGTCGCCATGCCAGCCCCGAGCTTGGACTTGACCGTCACGAACGGCAGTAGAATCGAGACGAGGGATGTGAGCACAATGACAAAGTCAAACCGGTTCCAACCGTGGCCAAAGTACGCTCGCGGGCCAATGGCAGCAACCTTGGTGAGCGCTTCAACAAAGAAGAGCACGGCGAATGCATTGTTGATGCGGTCGATGGACTCGCCGAGGACGTCGGGTTCGCCAAAGTACGTGCTTGTCATCACCGCCATGTTGAAGAGGATGCAGCCGGTCATCACGTGCTCGAAGTACTTGTAGCCGGCAATGCGATGGCAGAGGCGGCGCAAGCGATTCGCTGGTACTGGGTAGTGCACGATGGGCGAGAAGGCAACGAGCCGCCGCTGGAGGTTGATCCAGTTGATCTGTTCGTCGGTCACAAACCCACCGTACTTTTCCCGGATAAAGCTGTCGCAGAGGACGCCAATGAAGAGGTTGGGCATGAAGAACGCGCCAAAAATCATGAAAAAGACCCAAAAGAGCGCAAATTGCGGCTGTGCATGCGGAACCGGCTGCATGTCTTCGCCGCGTGCGTCGACCGACGCCAGCGCCACCGCGGTCCAGCCCTCGAACGTCGTGAGCTCGTACAGCGCGCCCATCGCACGGAGCAGATTGTCGAAATTTTGCGGCACCGGCGAGCTCCACGTCAGATTGAGCGACGGTGCGACCAAAGTGCTAAAGCAGAGACAGACATCTCTGGACGTCGGCGCCTCGTCGTGTGAGAAGTGACACTGGTCGCGCCAAATGGGCTCGAGATGCGCTTGGGACGACGGGTCCATGGCCCGCCAAATGCGTGGAAACGTCATGACATCCAGCTTCTCCAAGTCACTGCGGCTGTAGTTGCCAGCGTACGAGGGTGGGAACCACGGCGGCACGGGCGTGTACGATGCGTTCTCGAGATAGACATAGGGCCCGATCGAGCACGAGTTGAGCGAGCCCTTGAAGAAGTGAACGCATGCGATGCCAAAGAGCATGAGCATATACACAAAGAAGAGGAGCGACTTGGCGATTTCGGGGATGCACCGGAAGAGCGTGTTGACGACGACCTTGAGCTGCGGCAGCTGGCTAATCACGCGGAGCGGTCGGAGTGCGCGCAGCGTGCGTAGCGCACGGATGCCACCGACGTTGACATTGGTAGCCGACACGCTCCATAGCGCCAAGGACGACAAGACAATCGTTCCATCGAGTGCCTAGAGTTGAGATTGAGATTCACGTTGAGATGCCGAGAAAGAGATAAAAGACCTTCCACGGGTCCTTGATGTAGTCGACGACGCCGATCGCAATCAGTGTGATGGTCATTTCAATGGCAAAGAGCGTGGCGTACACGCGGTTCGCAGTAAGGAGGAACCGGCCGAGACCGTCGGACGCGTCGAGAAGTGGTGAATCGAGGGCGGTCGTGACGGTCGCACACGCAATCACTAGCCCCGTAGCGCGCTCCCACCACGACGAGCTCACAATCCGGAGGCAGGTAACGCGGAGCGGGAAGTGCACCGAAAGCACGCGCTGGTGGCCGTCGTTGGCGCGCTGGACCGTGGGCTCGAGGCGCCGGACCGAGCGCTGGACGTACCGCATCTGCATTAAATGGCGGTGGCTCTGCTGCTGGACGGTCGTCTTGTCGTAGATGCTCCGGAGCTCCTTGACCGAGCCCGCGGCCCGCGCCATGGTGGCGGTAGCATCGTCGTCGTCGACTTGGTTCATGACGCACGAGACGGTGATGGCCGAGAACATGTTCATGACGACCCAGACGCCGAGGACGATGATCGCGATAAAGTAGAGCGGCGCGAGGGGTCCGGTGCTGAGCCACCCGTCGTACATGACGTTGTTCCAGTCGTCGTACGTGAGGATCTGAAAGACCGTGAAGAGTGCGTTCGGGAGCGTGTCAAAGTTGGACCGATGCAGCTGCAGCAGCGACGCGTTCGCAGCAGCCAGTGGCCGGTTGTTGGCGTCAAAGTAGAATTTGGTCGCGAAGAGGTCCATGCCCATAAGGGCAAAGATGTACACAAACAGCGCCAAAAATACAAGAAAATGAACAATCTCGCCCATGGCGCTGGTCGTCGCTAAAAGCAGTCGCCGGAGCGGCCCCCACGCTTGCGCGAGGCGGAGCACCCGCAGTGCTCGGAGCGCTGTGAAGGGCGACGTCGGCGACACTGTGCCGTCAATAAACCCGGGCTTGTTGACGCAGTAGTCGAGCACACCGAGAAGGATCGAGGTGGCGTCGAGCCAGTTGAAGAGCTCCCTACACAGAGCCACGATGACGCCACAGACATAGTCCGGTATATACTTGAAATAGGGACCCGGCCCAAAAGCGATCAGGCGCACGACAAGGTCGAGGAGGAACCAGAAGAGGCACACAAACTCGACGAGCTCGACGCCAAAGGAGAACGCATAACTCATTTGGTAGTGCGTCGTCGCCAGCGCAACGACGTTGATGAGCGTCACGGCCATGTTGAACATGTAGTAGCCGCGGTGGCTGTAGATCGCTTTGACGCGGCTGCGGACGCTCCGGACGCGCGGGTGCCGGAACGACCGGTGGAGCTGGTGCTGCAGTGGCACTAACGTCTGCCTAGTGCCAGGTCCAAACCGCACGCAAAAATGCAAGCAACCACATACCACATACGCCGCCGCATCATCGAGAGCTCGCGCGCGTCGGCTTTGTCCTTCCTGCCACGCGGTTGAGATGCAAAGCACAACGATGTGTACGTACTCGAGGCGGAGCTGGGCGGCCTGGGCTTCACACGCCTTCTCGAATGCCGAGACCATGATGGCCATGTTGATTTGCAGCAAAAAGCACATGCCGACAAAGAGCACGACATTGAAGTAGATGCCGGCCCCGATCCACGAGTAGGCGTCTTGCGTCTACACCTCAGAGGTCAGTCTCACATCCCCGTGTGACGCGCACTGTGTCGTACGTTCTCCGTGAGCGCCATCCAGCCCGAGGCCGTCACGATTTGCATGATGATGATGAGCGCGCTCCCGACCGAGTCAAAGTGTGTAAGACCAAAGTTCAAGGCATACACAAAGTCGGGTTCCGTCATGATGGAAAAGAGCAGCGCGCCGCCATTCGGCGCGTAGAGATCACGGAACCGGGCGTGGCCGGACGCATCGTAGTTGGAGCCGCAGTACGTCCCCGGCGCACAGACGCGGCTGCCGCAGTACTGCTTGTCGTTGTAATTGAGCGGCCAAAAGCATGCTTCCGCCGTCGTCCAGTTGTCGTTCTCGACATCGATGCGCGGGCAAGCATACTTGGCCGGGTCCTTGACCGCGAGGTTGATGTACGTATCGTTCAAGTAGGCGGCGAGGGAGGGCGTCGCGCTCGGATCGAAGGGCAGTGCGATCGGGTGCGGCGTGAGGCGGCAGCGGGCGTGGGACTCGCCGCACCAGATCTGGACGCCAATGATGGCAAACACAAGGTAGGAGAACGCGAGGAGGATGGAGATGTTGCACTGCGCGGGGAGCGCTGTGAGGAGTGCGTTCACGAGCACCTTGAGGCTCGGGACCGACCGCACGGTGCGCAGCGGCCGCAAGATGCGCAGGAACCGAATGCCCGTCATCGTCGTCTTGACTTCGGCGAAGAGCAGCGAGATAATGCTAGCATAGGTGGTTGATACGACTTGGAGAAATCTCTAGAGATGTACCCCGAGGCAACAATGAGGCAGTCGAGTTTGTTCCACGGGTTGGCCAAGTACCCGTGCCGGCCCGAGACGCCGTGGGCAACGCACTTGAGCGCCAACTCGAGCATAAAGTAAACCAGCGTCACTAGCTCAATCTAGTATATGGGAATGGAAATATTGTCATAAGCACAAGAACCTACGATCTGCACCGCGCGGTTCACGCGCAGCGTCGGACCGTTCGTGGGCGCGCTGCCGTTGGCCCACGGGTCCGAGTAATCGACAAACCCCATCGCGATCGAGTTGACGAGCACAAAGAGGAGCGTGACCCGGGGCATGTACTTATGCGTCACGACCGCGATGCACGCGCGCCGAACCGGGTGCGATTGCGAGAGGACGCCAAGTGCCATTTGCTCAAACTACCAGACGCCATCAGCGTGGAATAAGAAAGGAGCCGTACGTTCTCGGGCGCGGCTTTGCGGTGAAAGATTTTCGACGAGAGGACGGGCGCGACGGCGCCCTGCACGAGCGCGGCGGGCGGCCCGGCCATTCGCGCACGCACCAAGCCGTTGCAAAGTGGCGCGGGCGTGAAACCGGAGCCGTTTCCATTCGCTTGTAAACGACAATGTATCCGGATACCGTATCTTGTTGCCGAAAGATCCTGTGCGTTTTGGATGGTGCGACCCGTTCCGGTCCAGTGCAGCTTGTATTACCGGTAGCCACACACGCCTCTTTGAACCATGTAGGTCCGCGGCGCAGAGACCATTGACTGGTACATTTTCACAGCGTTACGGTGTACTTAGTAGCTGGCGATGACACGGGCATTCCCAAGCTTTGGGCTCACTCCGCCCCTTCACAAACACCGGTGAATGCACAAACGTGCTGGGGTGCAGGGCGGACAGGGTGCGGTTTTGGCTGGTCTTTTGCGCGGCTGGACAGTGCTTGAACTACCTACAACGCGACTATGTTCTTATTGTCGTCGTTCCCAACCGTCGTGCAGCCGCAGCCGATCTTCCTCTTGCCTCCAAGTGCAAGACGCAATTTGATTGGACGCTATGTTGATGACGCTACATTTGATTGGCTAAACGGCCGTGCGTCGCGATGACAAGTGCAAAGTGGGATGTGTGAGCCAACGGTGACGACGCTATCGGCGGCGGCCATGCCGACGGACCGGCACGTGCTCAAGTACGTCCAACTGCGCTACGACGACGGCGACAACCTCATTTGCACGGACGACGCCATCTCGGAGGAGGAGCAGGCGCTGCTCGCGTACACGCCGACGCCGGCGCCGCGCGCCAAGGTGCTCTTGCACAGCTGCTGCGCGCCGTGCAGTGGCGCAATGGTCGAGGAGATGCGGTACCTCATGGACCTCGACATTACGATCTTCTTCTACAACCCCAACATCCATCCGAAGCGCGAGTACGAGATTCGCAAGGACGAGAACATCAAGTACGCCATCAAGCACGGAATTCCGTTCGTCGACTGCGACTACGACTCGGACGCGTGGTTCAAGCGCATGGTGGGCTTTGAGCTCGAGCCGGAGCGTGGCGTTCGTTGCTCGGCCTGCTTTGACATGCGCATGGAGGTCACGGCTGCGTACGCAGTCGAACACGGCTTTGACTATTTTACGACGACGAATGCCACGTCGCGCTGGAAGGACGAGCTGCAAGTCAACTTGGCGGGCGTGCGCGCGGCGCTCTTGTACCAAAAGCAGCGAGGTAGTCTCTCTTTTCTACGTCGGATGCCTGATGTCGTCTCCAGGCGCCAAGCTCCAGTTTTGGGTCTACAACTGGCGCACGGACGCCATGACGCGCCGCAAGTACGAAGTCTCGGTCGACGAAAAGTTCTACAAGCAAGAATACTGCGGCTGCTCGTACTCGCTCCGCGACTCGAACGTCTGGCGCGCGCAGCAAGGCATTCCGAAGGTCCAATTCTGCGTTCGCGACGAACGCGCTGACGAGATGCATAGGTCAAGATTGGTGGTGACACGGCCGGGCTGGGCACGCGGTACTTTGAAGACGTCGAGGCGGACGAGGCCGAAGAGTCGCAGGAGGTCGTCGACGCCTTCTTCCGCGACGCCAACGCCCATTTTGGCGACGAGAAGCGCCCCAAGAAGTACCAGGAAGCGCTCCAGAAGTCCAGCGCCGTCTTTGTTGGTCGTCAAAAGTCGGCCGAGAACATTGACGCCAACAACTGGTGATATCGACAACAACAATAACATTTTGTTGGCTGTCCCATGACCCTATCCCTTCTACACATACGAGGCTACTGTGCATCAGTTGGCGTGTTCCCGGCGGGGTTTGTGGATTCATTTCTAACGTGATCGTATTTATCTAGTTTGACAGCCCGAGCAAAAGTTCTGCATGCTGGCCGATCAGACATGCAGAAGTGGCGCACAAGATTAACCCCTTTTCCGTAGTTTTGTTGAAATGCCGGCAAGAATGAAGGGAAAAAGTCTAGTTCGTAATGTCTGTCTACTTGAAGAGCTCCTTGCGGAGCAGGTCGGCACGGCCGCGCACCGAGTTGATGAGCTTGACGCCGTCCTTCGTGAGGACGTTCCCGTCGGCGTCGACAAACACGAGGGTCGGAATGAACTCGACGCCAAACTGCGCGCTCAGCGACGCCTTGAGCTCGCGGTGCACGAACGGAAGCGCCGGAAACGGCATCTCGGCCCAGTACTCGTTAAAGCCGGCGACTTCTTTGTCGGACGAAACAAAGATGAGCTCCATGTCGTCGAAGTCTTCGACGAGATCTTCGTAGAACGTCGAGAGAAGCGGCGTAAACGCGCGGCACGGCGGGCACCAGTGCGCCGAGAAGTAGATACCGACCACCTTCTTGTTGGCGAGCGCGTCGGCCGTCGGGACGATCCCGGCCTTGGTTTGAATCTCAGCTCCCAAGAGCGCGTGCAGGGCCATCGAACTCGATGCTGTCAAATGTACAAGTGGGCTTGGTCCATGGCGCCACTGGATCGCGCGACGCTGATTGGCGGCGTTCCGTGTCAAAATACCGTACATGCGTACTGTATGCAACGTACGGTTGAACGTATTTTTGTATGCAATGTACGAGAGTGAACGTACGGTGCAGACACTGTAGAGTGGACGGGACGGGCCACCTGGGTGACGTGGGGATCAGAAGAAGATCGCGAACGATCGCGGCCCCGGAGCTATGTCCGGTACTGTATCCGGCGTATTTGTCGGACGTTCAACCCCTCGCAGCGTCCGTCAGCATGAATCGACAATTTTGTAGACGATATGGATTTAATGGTGATATGGTTTCCAGCAAGATTGACGAAGGCAGTCGCAACAAGCGTACACAACCAAAGGATAGCTTTAATAAAATGAGCCAATTTACTGGTAACGTAATCCCGGAGACCGTGTTTAGTGTCGACCCTCCAACGCATTTGGTGCGACCTATTCCCGTACCTGGTTCGTGTAGGCCACGAAAGCTAGCTAAGAATCGATAGAGCTCTGGTTCCACCCCTGGTTTGCACCAGTGAACAATGCAAGTACTAATATGTGCACGTATCTCGTGGGACCATTTTCGTGCGTCTAGCAACGACGTCGTCCAGGCGCCCCTGCAAACGCCGCGATGCATATCAGGTGAAACGAGGTTGGCGAATTCTTGATGAATTCACTTTATACATTTGTGTTGCCCATCCCCCGCCATCGGTGAGTCTAACTCCTGCACACGATTGCCAGCTCCTCCAGCAGACAACAATGGTGACCTCGGCACCTCTGTCGCGTGTCGTTTTGCTGCTCTGCCGTGGGCAAAGCCAAAGGGATCTGCCCTAGGTGTGGACGCATCCGTGGCTGATCCGACTTCCGACAGTCGGCCTTTTCGCTGCGGCACTCCGTTGCGACGACATGGTGTCCAGCCTTTCTGACGGCATTGTATACCTAATCGGGCACATCGAGGTGCAATGGGCGGCGTATACCACATTGATGATATGGGTCCAGCGCACACCTGGCATGTCATTAGAGTCTGGTTGCCAGCGAGACGGAAGGTGGGCGAAGAAGCACGCAACCAGGCGCAAGCCGACGAGAAGATCCTACATTGCACCGACCAGATGCAATGCAAGATTCGAGATGACGCCGCGCCGTGCCTGTCGTGTGTTGGCGGGTCGCGGATCTCACGACGCACTGCCCAGTGGGGCGATCCCAGCGCTCTCGGCCGTGAAGGAATCTGCGCCGTCTGGCCTCCGCCCTATCATCAGCATCTTCCGACACCGTGGGAGCCAACCATTGGAAGCATCAAGTAACCTCAATGCTGCAAAAAATATAGCGATTCGGTCGGCCGACTCGTGCGCTCGTGCAGGGGTCGCAGCCCGCTGGGCGGACGCGATGAATCCGCGCGCATCATCACGGAGTAAAACCCTGCGCGATGGGGCATTCCTTTGATGCACCAATCCCATCGCAGCATGCTTCCACGTGAGCCAATCCAATTCATTCTAGGATCAAAATCCCAAAACAGAGTGTTTTTAGAGTTTTGCACCCGATTGCGAATCTGAGTGTCGCCTGGGCTACAGAGACCTGACCGCGTGCGTCGTCCGCTCTCAATGTAGCCGCTCGTTGCGTCACCTCGTACACAGCCGGCCACTGATAACCCGAGTGTTATTAGTGGTCGGGCGCTCGCCTTCGCCACGGCCCACTGCAAGTAATCTGAACGCTGAGCAGCTGCCGCCAGATTCACGTGACCACTCTGCACGCGTTGAATCTTGTCACACTTCCGTCACTTGCGCTTTTACCATGTTCTTTGCACCTTCAACGAGCAGCGCCGACCTGCTTGCGCTCGAGAACGACCGCCTCCGCCTCCAGCTGCAAAAGGAGCAAGCGACGATCCGGTCGCTCCAGACGCAGCTGCAGTCCCTGCAAGCCACGGCCGCCGAGGCCACGTCCAACCGCCTCGCCCTTGAACGCGAGTACGCGACGCTCAAGTCGTTCATCACAAGCGCCTTCAACCTCCCCAAGCAATTGCCGCGCCTCTTAGTCACGAGCGTCGTCCCGAGTGCCAAGCCGGCGTCGCCGCCACGACACCGCACCTCGCGCGCCTCGTTCCTTGGGCCGCTCCTGGAAGAAACCGGCGACAGTGACAGCGACATGGACGAGCCAAGCGTCGTCGCTCCCAAGGCGTCGACCAAGGACGCGGCCACGGTTTTGGCGCAAAGCGCTGCCAACCTCATGACGTTGCGCCGGTCGTCGTCCGAGCGTGTGCTCCGTGACAACTGGTGCGAAGAGCCCATTGTGGCGCCGGCGCCGCTCTCGCGGGATGCATGGAACAAGCTGCTGCTCGACTGGGCCCAAGGCGACACGCGCAAGCACGCGTACCTCTCCGACTGGCTTTCTTACCACTTGAACGGCCAGCGCCATGCCTCGCCGTACGCCAACCCGCGTGTCGAGCTCAAGTCGCTCACACCCGCGCAGCTCGACGGCTTCAAGCGGCTCGTGCTCCCTGCTCTACGCGCCGCGCGCCCGGACCTCGACGTGCGTGGCTACAGCAAAGACTACATTGGTCATAGTCTGCGCATCGTGCTGGACGGACCTAGTACGTCCCCGATGCGGTCGTCGCTCGCGTCGATTGCCGAGCGCTAACGTGTCTATTTTGCTAACTTATCCATTTCTGCCGCTACTATATTATGTAAATTCAACCATGTTTCATGTCCACGAGTATATTCAGTCTAGTATTGCGATCGTCGAGCACTAGACGTCGACGTTGGCAGCAATCGAGGCGCCGTCGACCGTCAGCGCATAGGAAAAGTACTGGGCGCTAGTCGAGAAGAACGAGCCTTCGAGCACGATGCGCACGCTGAGCTCGTGGCCGTTGTGCGCAAAGCAGAAGGCATCGCCGCCGTCCCAGAGCAGCCGCGCCTGGGTCTGGAGCTCGCCGTTGCAGTAGACTGCGCGGAAGCCGCCGTGGAGCCCGTGCTGCACCTCGACAACGAGCGGGGCGTCGGCAAATGCAATGTGCCACCAGAGCTGCTTCCACGGAAACGTGAGCAAGATCGCATTCGCCGGGTGCTTGATCTCTTCGAGCGTCACCGCGACATCGCCGAGGCGACCGCTTCGAACGATCGGGACGCTGTCTTTGCCTTGTGAAGTACTTAGCAGGATGCTGTTGGCGAGCTCGGCTTGCAGCATGGTCTCGAGCGCCACGACATCTACGTCAACCTGTCGCATCATACAGTGACACACGCATAACTCACCTGGCTCGTCCGGCACCTTGTACCACGAGCGATTTGGAAACCCGACAGCGACCCAGTCAGGGGGCGCCGTCCATAAATTATACACGGCCTCTACGTCGTTTCAGGATGCCTCGTCAGAGTGAAGAGATCAAAGACCCGTGATGCGCTCGATCGTCATCTTGGTCGCATTCGGTGCATCGAGTGCGACCCAGCCCTTGTCCTTGAGCCCCACGTACGTAATGTCCGAGTCTGGTAGACCAAACTGGAGCAGCGCCACAAACGCCTAACGTATCAATGTATCAGCCGTCCCACGCAGGATGTGGTCTACCTGGTTCTCGTCAATGTACTTAAGCACAGCGCTGGTCGGTTCGGGTGACACGAGAACGCGGACGCGGGTTTTGGTGCGGTAGTAGAACTTGCCGTGTTGCTTCTCCGGTTCTACATGCTGATGACCATCAAAAGGTCAAAGACGAACGCGTACCTTTGCTCAGCGCGACGAGCACCGACTCGCCCTGAACCGTGCGTTCGTAGATCCAGCCAGGCTCGTGCGCGAGCTTGACGTAAGTCATGTCGGACGCCGGCGGGATGTACCTACAGCCCATCAACTCGATACAACAGTGATACTTAACACGCGCACCGCAAACTGCTCTCGACGATGGACCCGACAGGCTTGGGAAAGCTGCCTTGGACGCGAGGCCCGTCAATGTCGGGCGCCATGCGCACCGGTACCGCGATCTGGACCTTGTAAAACTTGGGGACGTCGATCGTGGTCGCATCTATCTCAGTTCTTAGTCGCGCTCGACTGCGTTCTTGCCGCCCTACCGCCGTCAATAGCCGTAACGAGGAGCTCGCCGCGGCGTGTCGTCTCGGGCACCCACCCTGGCGCGTGCCGGAGCTTGAGAAAGGTAACGACAGACGTCGCAGACTCGTCGTCGTCGGCGAGCGCGACATCGAGGCGCAGTCGCTCGCGACACTCGATGACTTGGAGCCGGGTCGTGAGCACCGGGCTCTCGAACGACGGCGCCGAGAAGACGGGCACGCCATTGTCCGAGTCCAAGACGCGGTAAAAGCCTCGCGTAATGTCCCGTTGGATAAGACTGTGCAGCGGCGACAAGACGACCTGTACACCAATACATCCGTCTCTTCCATGGGATCCAAGGTCCCGTACCTGGCCGTCCATGGTCGACTCGAAGACCCAGCCGCGCTCGTGGAGCAGCTTGACGTACGTGATGGGCGACCCATTTGGCGTGAAGCGCTGGGACCCTTCCACGATCGTGTTGAGGTGAAAGCCCTTCCCGACTCGCGGGCCCATGATGTCGGGCGACTCGCGAATGCCCACGGCGATTTTGACGCAGTAGAAGAAATGGCCGTGCTCGAGCGTCCCTTCCTTGCCACTTAGCGTCGCAACCGTCACGTTGTTGGGCGCTGTGACCGAGATCGCACTCGGTCGCGTGACGATCGGCGCTTCGTCGAGGCGCTCGAGCACGTGGCGGCCACTGGGCAGCTGCACGTTGAGCCACCCGGCGGGCTTGAGCTCGACAAAGGCCACGCGGCTCTGCGGAAACGTCACGACGCGAGCGACCTCGACGATATCGTTCGGGCGCTTGGTGTCGACGGGCGAGACCTTGGGCGCCAAGCAGTCGGGCCCTACGAAGACACACGGCGCTAAGAGGATCGCAAGCGAGAGATCTCGCACCCGTGCGCACGTCGAGGGGCACGAGCACGCGAAAGTAGAAGCTGGGCGACGCGACCTCCTCCGTCCAGTTCGTCTCGGGCAGGAGCTCGACGTTGCGCGCGCCATCGAGCGCATTCTCGAGCGGAATCCAGCCGGCGGCATGGGCGAGCTTGAGGTACGACACGTCGCTATCTTCGTAGCCGCCCGTGCTGCGGCGGCGACCGTGCGGCGACGGATGCGACTGCGACGGCGAGAGTGGCTCCTGCTGCGACTGCTGGCCCGCGTCGATGACCTCGACGACCTCGCCCGGCATCTTGCGCGCGTTGTGCACGTACGAGTCGGGCATTGGTGCGTCAGCCACGCGGACCTCGCGCAGGACGCGGTAGAACTGCCGGGGTCGACCCATGGCCGTGTCTTCGTCCTTCCGACTGACCTCTATTGTCCGGATACCAGCGCTTGAAATCCATCGGTTTGAGTTTGAGTCGATGGTCCATAAAAAGTGCACTTTGGCTCCAAATTAAGTTGAGTTTGAGTGCCCACCAACACCTTGGCCAAAGATTGGGCAAGGCCGGATCGGTTGCTAGCTTATGATCCTACAGCCGACGGCGATGCACGGTGGTCCGACGTGTGACATCGTCGAGCCAGCTCCGGAGGTAGCTGCATTTCCAGTGATATAGCCCGTCCAGCGGTTCATTACCTAGTGCATTGACGACTTATAACTTATGTTGGAACCTATGAGCAACGACGAGAGGGTTAGGACGCATGCGAAGATGCAAAGCCACGCGTCGCCGCGGGTTGTAGATGGCGGTGTACCTCCCGTCAGTCTCTTAGTCCAGGTGCACTTGTAGTAGCTTGTCAGGCTGGTCGGGCGGCGAGACAGGGAGGTGTGAGTCGCGCGTTGCGATTGGCCAAAAGTCGTCTGGAAAGCCAGCTGGAAGCCAATCACCGGCGTTTGTGACGCTTTTGCACCAAAACCAACTCATTTTCTTAGTTGCAATGACGACGATGGCAGCGCTGCGCGAAGAGAACGAGCGCCTGCGCCGGGCCCTCGCGCAGCAAGAGGACGAGTACGCGACGACGCTCAATGAGCAGCGCGAGCTCAAGATCAAGCATGCGCAGCTGCTGTACCGGCAGCGGCTGCGCCAGCGACACCCGACGCTGGTCATGAAGGAGGACGATACGCCCGACACCTTTGACTTTCATCGCCGCGAGATGCGCATCATCTTGCTCGAGGAGGCGTACGAGCACATGCTGCGCCTCGCAGACAAGGGCGCAGCGTGGCTCGACCCGAACTCGGACGACGACGTCGAGCTCTTGGACGAGCACCAGGCGTTCCATCGACTGCACCGTCATTGGCACCGCCACCGCATGCCGGCCGACCTCGAAGACACGTTTGACGCTGGCAACGAAGACGACCCGACGATCCCGATGAACCTCGAAGCCGACTGCTGGAAGGATCTGCTCAACATGTACGCCAACGGCAACCCGCAAAAGCTCAAGTACCTCACGTCGTGGGTCCGGTACATCCTCCTCGGCGGCTCGATCGGCACGCCCGACGCGCAGTTCCGCGCGGGCGTCGAGCTCACGTACCTCTCGAGCGAGCTCATCGAAGGATTCTCCAAGATTCTCATTCCCGCCATCCAGCAGTACCGACCGGACCTTGAGGTGCACGTGCTGACGAAAACCGTCGTGGACCGGAGCCTCCGCATCGTGGTCATGCCCCGCAAGAAGCCGCCCTCGCCGCCGCCAGCGTCGTAGCGCAGGACGCTGTTTATTTAATCGACTTCAATGTACTAGGACAGACTATAGTTGGTGCATGCGACGACAAGGCTGTCTCCAAATTCTGTTTCAGATCTGATTTCGAGTTGTGCCGGACGGGAATCTTGTTATTCCTTGCGTCAGACCGCCGTCTACCTTAGCGTCGCAGGTATTAGCCTGCGTTGTCGGTGGCGAAAGCAGCGTACGTACACTGTATGGGCGGCGCTGTAATAGGCGGCGATCGCGAACTCACGCACTCCCCTGCCCCACTTCTGCCCTCCTGTCTTTCTCAATTGCCGGGACACAGGATTGGCTGAAACACGATGGCACTGCGACATGGAGCGTTATGATTGGCGCATCGCTCATATTTATGGCCAATCGTGTGACGCGGGTACCGTTTCCCGTCAATGAGTCTATTTTGGCCAATGAAACCGACGTGGTCGGCGTTTCGCCGATGCCATTGGCTAAAAAGATGCGGTCGGTCCCGAGCACTGTTTCGCAAGTCAGTTCACACGAGGCGAGCGATGGAGGCGTCCAAGGTCGGATACCGGCATGGCCATGGAAGCGCATGCTCATGCGATGCTCTCTGTAGGTATTTATCCCAGACAAGGAGCACGTCTGGCTGCCGGCCATTGTCACGAGCACAGTCGGCTCGCTCGTGACCGTCAAGGTTGAAGAGCACGACGTGCGCGGGCAGAAGCTGCCGCAAGGCATGAGCCTCGGCGCCAACGTCGGCCGCACCATGACGATCGACCTCTCCAAACCCGAGATTGCCGAGGTCATCCAGGCGCGGACCGTCAAGTCGTCGAGTAGCAACGCAGCGATTAGCTTGCCGCTGCAGAACAAGGTGCAGACTGCGACCAACGGCTTTGAGGACATGATCTCGGTCGACCACTTGCACGAGGGCGCGATCTTGTACAACCTGCGCCAGCGCTTCTTTGGCCTTCTCCCATGTACGCGCCAAGGCCTCGATCGGCGCTCATGAACAGGTTGATGATAGACACGTACACGGGCAAGATCTGCATTGCGGTCAACCCGTACCAGTGGCTCACGCTGTACAGCCCCGAGACAATGCAAAAGTACATGGACGGGTCCCGCGAGAGCAAGTCGCCGCACGTGTACGCCGTCTCGATGGAGGCCTTCTTCCACATGCGGTCGCACAGTCTCAACCAGAGCATCTTGGTCTCGGGCGAGTCGGGTGCTGGTAAAACCGAGACGACCAAGATCATGATGAACCATGTTGCGACGCTCTCGTCGCATCTCTGCGCGTCGGAAGCGCAGACGTCGATCATCCACCGCATCATCCAGTCCAACCCGCTCCTCGAGTCGTTTGGCAACGCCGCCACCACGCGCAACGACAACTCGTCGCGCTTTGGCAAGTTCACCGAGCTCCAATTCGACGTCAAGGGCCACCTCATGGGCGCGCGGGCGCACACGTACCTCCTCGAGAAGTCGCGCGTGACGCACCAGGCGCCCGGCGAGCGCACGTTTCACATTTTTTACCAAGTGCTCGACGCTGCGAGCTCGCATCTCGCGCATCTCGAGCTGTCGCAAAAGAGCTTCCGGTACGTCCGCCAGGACAAGGTCCTCGCGCTCGAGCACTCGTTTCTTGAGACGCAGTCGGGCCTCAGCATCGTGGGCATCTCAGAACCCATGCAGGCCAACCTCTGGCTTGTCCTCGGTGCGATTCTGCATCTCGGCGAAGTCGACTTTGACATGGTCGCTGGCGACGTCGACTCGTCTTGCGTGCAGCACAAGGCGTCGCTCACGACCGTGGCCAAGCTCCTCGGCATCCCGCTGGCCGACCTCGAGCAAGTGCTCACGCACCGCACGGTCGCGGTCGGGCGCGAGGTGATTGCCAAGCCCATGACGTGCGACCAAGCGCGCGACTGCCGCGATGCGGTCGCCAAATCGCTCTACTCGACCATGTTTACATGGCTCGTCGACCAGATCAATGCAGCGATCGGCGTGCACTCGATGGCGTACTTCATCGGGATCCTCGACATCTTCGGCTTTGAGGCCTTTGACCACAACTCGTTCGAGCAGCTCTGCATCAACTACGCCAACGAGAAGCTGCAGCAAAAGTTCGTCCAAGACGTGCTCAAGACGGTCCAGGCCGAGTACGAAGAAGAAGGGATTTCGTGGTCCCACGTGACGTTCGCTGACAACCAGGACGTGCTCGACTTGATCGAAGGCCGCCTCGGCGTCCTTAGCCTTCTCAACGAAGAGAGCTCGCTCGCCACCGGCACGGACGCGTCGTTTGCGCACAAGCTCTCGGCTGTCATGGACAACCACGCGCGGTTTGAGACACCGCGCCTCCAGTCGAGTGCGTTCATCATCCTCCACTACGCCGGCAAGGTGCTCTATGACACGAACGGCTTCCTCGACAAGCACCGCGACGCGCTTCTGCCCGACATCAAGCGCGTCCTCTCGGAGAGCTCGCTGCCGCTTGTCCGCACCATGTTCCCCGCGACTGCATCGACGCCCGATGCGTCCAAGAAAAAGCACAAGCCCGCGCCGCGCCAGACGACGCGCGCGGTCACGGTCGGCACGCAGTTCAAGGAGTCGCTCGCACAGCTCATGGAGAAGATCTCGCACACCAATGTCCACTACGTGCGCTGCATCAAGCCCAACGCCTTGAAAACGGTACGTCGTCCAGTCGTCATCGATGGACGTTATGACCCTTTGGTGTAGCCACATGCGTTTGACCATGCATCGGTCGTCGACCAGCTGCGGTGCGCCGGCGTCATTGAAGCCATTCGCGTGAGCCGGTCGGCGTACCCGTCCCGCATCTCGCACCTCGACTGCCTCAAGAGCTACGCGCTCTTGGCGCCGAGTGTGACGAGCTTTGCGTCGGACGTGGTGACGCGCTCGAGCGAGCACGCGCGGAGTGACTGCAGCGCGCTCCTCGCTGCGCTCTTCCCCAAGGGCCACATCATCGACTACCAAGTCGGTGTCTCGCGCGTCTACTTTCGTGAAGGCATCCTCGAGGCCCTCGAGGCGCAGCGCGGCGTCGCGCTCACGTCGTTTGCGATCCGCATCCAGAAGCACATGAAGCGGTATCTGTGCCGGAAGCGATTCCTCTCGATCCAGAAGGCGACGATCAAGGTCCAGTCGTACCTGCGTCGGTGGCACTGCCAGCTCCAGTACCACCGGCTCCGAAACCGCGTCATTGCCTTCCAGGCGCGGTACCGCGGCCACGTGGCCCGCCGTCGCGTGCTCGCGATGCGCACCAAGCGCGCGCTCACCAAGCTCCAGGCCGTAGTCCGCGGCTTCGTCGCGCGGTCGCGCTTCCTTCGCATCAAGGCGGCCGTGAGTAAAGTCCAATCGTTCTGGCGCATCACGTACCTTCGCCGTATCTTCCTCAAGCGCCTCATGCAAGAGAAGGAGCGGCGGGCGCTCGGGTCCAAAGTGCTGAGCCTCCAGTCGCAGCTGGGCACGAGCAAGAAAGACCTGAGCAACAAGCCCCATGGCGAGCTGCCGTCACCCAACCGGCCGCACACGGCGCTCTTCAACGAGTCGTCGCAGGTCCTCGGGACGCTCGCAGCTGAGAACAAGGCGCTGCGCGAGCAGCTCGCGCGCCAAGAAGACGAGATCAACGGACTCAAAGAAGAGAACCGCAAGATGCGCGACGCGCTCCAAGCCAAGGAGCTCGAAGATAAAGTCAAGAACCTCAGCCTCAAGTCCCAGGAAGCGACGCAGATGGCGTACCTCGCGCACCTCGAAGAAGAGTACGAGAAGGTCCGCGCATTCCTCTGCAACGTGTTTGAGCTCCCGAGCGAAGTCGGCGTCCTCAAGACGACGCCGCCCTCAAAAGAGGAGCTGCTCAACGCGCTCCCGCCGCCGTCCTCGACCAAGCCGTCCAAAGACTTTAGTGTGGCGAAGAACGAAGCGTTCACGCTGCTGCAGCGGTCGGCCACGCGTCTCTATCGCACGCGCTCGAAAGAGAGCAAGCGCGGCAGCTCCCGCCGCGTCAAGGATTTCTGGGACGAGATCAAGACCAACTCGCCGCCGCTGCCGTACACGCTGGGTTCGACGCCGTGGAAGCGCCTCCTCACGGACTGGGCTCAAGGCAACCCGAAGAAGCTCGACTACATGACCCGCTGGCTCCAAAACGTCCTCGAGGGCGGCGACGTCGAGAGCGGGCAGTTCCCCCTCGGCGTCGAGCTCAAGTCGGTGACGCCCATGATGCTCGAGGGCTTCATCCAGCTCGTGATTCCCAAGCTCGCCGAGCGACCGGACGTCAAGGTGCACGTGCACACCAAGGAGTTTATCGGCACAAGCATGCGCATCACGCTCGAGGTCAAGGAAGGCGTGCCGAAAATGCGCCCGGTCAAACTGCCCGACGGCGCGCTGCCGCCGACAAATGGCAAGCCGCGGGACACGACGACCGGCGGCCTTGACCAGTGGGGGCGGCACTCGATCATGTCGGTGCGGGACCGGCTCAGCCTCGCGAGCAACTCGACGAGCGAGTCGTTGCGGTCGACGCAGTCGAGCTCCTTGTCGTTCACTGAAACGCGCATGTAGTAGTTAGTCGGTCCCTCTCAATACACGCTTTTGTGCTCTGTTTACATACAACTCTGTCTGGCAAGGGGTCGGGTTCTTCCAGCGGCTCTCAGCGCAACGTGGTGCTGAACACTCGCATTCGAGACGAGAATCCACATTACCAGATCTGATGACCTTGTCAGATCTGATGACCTTGCCAGAACCAATGACGCTCTCGCAACCCCGTCGCCATCAAAATCTTGGCGTTGAACCTCCTATTCTAGTCGTAGTAAGCTTACCGGTACTTGACTACGACGGAGCCGAACGCTGGTCGTGACGCCAGTCGACTGCAGTGTACTCTATGTACTGTACTGAAGGGCAAAGCAATGATACTGACGCGGTGCTGACATCCCACTGTGGCGCGTGACTCACACCGCAGTGCACTGACAGGTGTCGGCGCACATCCTGCGCCAGGTTGCCATTGGCACAAAAGAAGAAGGACCATGAGCGACGCATCCAAGAGCGAGTCGATGAGCGTCTCCGGCGTCCGGCCGCGTCCCGTCTGGATCGCTGGATGGCTCTACGAGCGCTACGGCCTCGGCTCGTACAAGGCGCGCTACTGCGTCTGCAAGGGCAGCGCGCTCCACACGTACAAGGACGAAGACGTTTTCAACGGCCAGCTCAAGCTCACGATCGGCCTTTCGCTCATCGAACCGTACGCTGACGAGCCGCACGCGTTCCGCATCAAGGACGCGCGCGGCAAAGCCCGCATCTTCAAGGCCCAGGACGCCGAAGACTGCACCCACTGGCTGGCGCGCCTCCGAACGGCGATGCTCGAGGAGCCACCGGCGTCGCCGTCGTCGTCGTCGTCTCGGTCATCGACGACGTCGTGGTCCAACGCCGCGACGCCAGGTGCCGAACCGGGGAGCGCGCGGCCCGCCAAGATCGACCTCCTCGACTTTTCGCCGCCGCCCGAAACCTTTGTCGACGACACGCCACCGGCACATCTACTGCCGCGCCGAACGAGCTCAGAGTCGCCACCTCGGCGCTGGACGTCGACGCTCAAGCAGCTCTTCAAGTCTACGACGACGTCGTCATCGTCGTCGCCAACCGAGGTTGCATCGGTGCCCATCATCACTTGGGGCAGCGCGGCCAACGGCGGCCTTGCGCGCCAGCTCGAGCGACTCATGTACGAGTGGTACCGCGACTGGGACTCGGGGCGGCCCATGAGCTCGTGGCGCAGTGTCAAGCCGCAGGTCTTTACGCTGCACATCAACGGCGTGCACGTCGAGGACGAGCGACCGGTGCTCTTCTCCACAACGTTTCCAACTGGGTTTACATGGGAAGTGTCGAGTCTCTTCTCGGCCGCGCCCAAGATTGCATTTGCGTGGCGCCACGCCGGCAAGTTCACCGGTCGCTTTGACAACCTCTCGGGCAACGGACGGGAGGTGGCGCTCCAGGGCTTTGCCGTCGCCCGCGTCGACGTGCACGTGCAACGATTGCTCTGCCTCGAGCTCTTTTTTGATCCTGCGCCGCTCGTCGCCAACGCCGGCGCTCCGTAGTCGCTTAGTAGCCCTTGCTGCTCGAATATATATGACAATTTTGTTATTCTCCGGTTCTGCAAGTACCGGTACAGCTGCTGCACTAGCCTGAGGGCGCATCTCTCGAGTTCATTTTATGCAGAACCGTTGAAGCGGGACAGGCGGCAAAACGAAGGTGCGCGACGTCGGCTGGTGCAAGGTGCTCTGGACGCAAAGGGCAAAAGGCAACTTGCTCGGCACTGCAGTGGGACGCGCCTCTGTCGCGTGTGTCGTGTCACGCGCGATCGTTGAGGTTGCCGTTGGGATCACACGCTGAGCGCGAACCACTGCATGTACTATAGCCTGCGATGTATGGTGGATCGTGGCTGGAACGGACCTGGTCGTCACGGCGCTGGCCACGTTTGCACGGCGCATTGCCCTGGAGAGCTAGAAAGCGTACGAAGGTACGACGGTCGCACGACTGGGTGTCATGGGTTGCTCCGGAAGCGAGTAATGACGGCCACTTGTGTGAAGGGGAGGTCGCACTGCCACAGAGCCATTTGCATCCAGCGTAGTGTAGGACGTGAGAAGAACTCGAGGGCGCGTAAATCTTCTACAGTGTTGGTCGGGGACACGACTCTTCGGAAAATGGACTAGACCGTGTCGCGCTGAAAGCTGTGGCGGTTCAGCTAGCGCTTCTTCAGGCCTGATGCCCGATATTGCCCGCTCTGCGCGGTGCACGCCCGCGAACGTACGACCATCTTCGAGTGCGCTGTCGATTCATCCGCGAGGTCTGGCGCGCTTTTGACCCGATGCGCGATATCTTGCCGATGCAACTGCCATCGTCCGTCGGCGGCCTCCTCTACGATGCCGTCGCCACGCCGTTCTCTGCCCACAAGTCGACCATCCGTGCCCTCTGGCCGATCTTGCGCGCTTGCGTCTGTACAGTCTTTGGCTTGAACGCAACAACCGCGTGTTCCGCACGACGCTGAAGCCCCTTCCCGCTGCTGCGCTCGCGATCAAAGCAGCTACTATCTCGCGATGGCACATCCAGCACTTGGCTCGTCGCGGTGCCTTCGCTCGCCGAGTCGCCTAACGCTCTACGCGCCGACCCTGGGTGTGCTCGCAACCTTGTTCATCCCACAATCCCGAGCGCGGACCAAGCGCCATCGGCGTGACGTACCGGCCAAACCTCACGAGCGCAGTAGGAAGTCCACCCTCTTCACTATATAATTGCATGTTGATAACTCATTTCAGCAAAAGAATGTACTACGGTGTACTCTGTCAAGGACATGTCGTCCAACCCTCGTCAGGTGCGGTTTCGCCATCCGGCAGGACGCCTCGGAGCGTCGTTGTGAGAAGTTGCTTGCAAAAGCTGTGGTTGTTCAACGCAGCGACCCGCGCGGCTGCCTGCGCTTTGGCCACCGTCTCGAGCTCCGCATCTTCCTCCTGCCGCATCGAAAAGAGAAAGAGCTCCGAGATGCGTGTCGTCTTGGCGTCCAGACGGTCCATGATGATCCTAATAACTCCGTGTAGAAGATTGTCTGTTGTCATAGCGACGCACCAGCCATTCGAAAGGACAGCGTTCGGGTTGTTGACGCGCGTCTCGTCCGTGATGGACGAGCACACGAGCACCGCGCGGTGCGGCATCTCAAAGAGGCGGTACAGCACATGGTCGCCAGCTCCAAGGTCGAAATACGCAGCGTCTTCACCCAGCGCAGTGGTCACAAGCTACGAGAGCGGGTTTGAAGCGCGTACTAGAGGAGGACGAGGATACGTCGTGATCAACGTAGGCGGCCGTGTGCCCAGGACACGCGTTCTGGAGGTAGATGCGTCGATTGCTCTCGACGAGCGCTTCGAGCGGCGCGGGTATCTCAATCTGCTGCTGCAGCACCATGTACGAGAGCGCGACACTCTCCGTCTCGGCAAAATGAACGTCAAACGCAATCGGCCGGCAACAGCTCAATGCGTGCGTCGCGTGGTGGTAGAGTCGCGTCGTGAGCCACGCGAGGGCCTCGCCGCGCTGCGTTGCGGGCAGCGTCTGGCACTGGTACGACGCCAAATGCGGTAGAACGTTGTCCTAACAATGTCTCAGTGCTGCTTCATACTTTATTTCGTACAAGTGGCGACGATGGGACGCGGCTCAAGCAGGTCGTGAGCACGTAGGCCAGCTGCCGCGTGTAGTGAAGCTGGGCCTTGAGCGCGCTGTTGGTCAGCTTGGCGCTTTGAGAGCTGTTGGCCAGTGCGATGGCCACGTCGCGCCACGGCAGCGGCGACGACGTCCGGGCCTCGAGCTCGGCCGAGAGCGCCGCGACCTGTTCGCGGAGGTACTGGGCCTGGAGCCTCTCGCGCCGGCGGTGGTCGCGCAGCCGTTGGCGGTCGTACGTGCGCTTGCGGGCGACCGCGTCGCTTTCGATAGCGTCGTCATCGGCAGCGTGTTGCGCGTCATACAAGATCTCGCGCGACGAGTACACGTCCTCGCCGATCGCGGTCGTCGGTGCCATCGTTGTCGGGGCTAATCAGATGGAATTTGCGCCCAGGTGCGCGCACTTGAAGCGCGCCCACGTGGCACGCTCTCGTCGCCCGAGTTGGAC